GATTCATTGGGACCAATCTCAACGCTGTTTCTGAGCCCTGAACTGAGGAATATCAATACACTCTAGCGATGACATTCCCTATTCAAAGTCAATTCCCCCTTTGCCGCAACGCCCTCTAACGACAGTGCTTGGACAATAGCGACAAAATGCTACTTTGGCATTAGCGGAAAGTCGATCTTTATCCTGACTGGCTAATGCATGGTTCGGCCTCTGATCTAATCAAAGAGAAAAATACAAACTTAAGTCTACCTCCGTCAAAGAGAGGGTTCATAAAGCGGGACATACGAAAAGCATCGTCGTAGGAACGAGTGCCCCTCTTAATTTCATTCAGTATTGCCCGATGCTTTTGGGTTACTACTTTACGTTCGAAAAACGCGACCTAAAATGGAGAAAGAATGTTATTAATTTGTTATCAGATTTCTCAGTATCATTTATAGCTTGCGGACTCAAATGTATCATAATATATAGTAGACAAAATGTGACTAGTCCGGCCACACATCCTGTGTCTGTTCCCTCTCAATTTGCTGCAGGTAGTGATGTAGTCCTTGCAGACGGTGCTAGAATTTGTGAAGGTGTACCGATGTTTTCAGCAGCTCGGAAGGTCCTACACCGACGGTTTATTTCAGGGCCTTGACGATCGGTTATATATAATATGAATCAGACATTATTCAAGAACATTTCTAAAAACATCGGTTTCTTAAAAAAAAGTGAAATTTTGTGTTCGAAATATTGTTGGTCTTTTATGGGTGTCTTCGATCTTAAACATCTAAGTAACGCTAACGATCGAGAGCTTCGCCAGATCGACGATGGACCGACAACATTAAATCCACATGCTTGATTAGCACAGGCAAGAAATCGCAATAGAGATTACGTTCAGACGGAGGAATAATTACCTTGTATAGAATGGCGATGAAGATGATGAGGATGAGAAGACCGCCTAGTGAGGAGACGATATAGATCCAAATGGGCGTGGTCTTGATAATGGTCCTTTGCTTCTCATACTGGACCCGGACTTCTGTCTGGATCTAGATGTGGATCATGTAAGAATGGGTCCAGATATCAAATAGGATTTTCAAGTATTGGTCATGCGATTTCACTTTGAAATAAACTGCCTGAAAATTAGTCTAGATGGTGAACAGGAACAATCTTGTCTAATGGTGTCTTTAAATGAGAGAGAGAGAGAGGGGGGGGGGGGGGGGGGGGGGACAATTTGCGAGTTTTACAGTTTAAAGATGACGTTGAGTTCTGGTCATGCGATTACATTGTGAAAGAAACGGTGTGGAATCGATCAGAAAAGGTTGATCATCTAGCATATAAGTTTTTGTGTGTATTGCTAGGTTCTGGAATCATCAAAATGATAACAAATTTGGCCAAGTCTTGATAAAGTTTCAAGCACTGTACACAGAAGGATGTATATGGGACTACACGAACACATGGCGTAAAAATCCGTCCTGATTTTTACGATGTTACATGCCATATTTAGAATATGAAGGCATTTGAAGAGCAATTCTTTTCAGAGCACGTGTTTTATCTGATCTTCATTCCACCCTTGCATAATAACAATAATAACGCTCATAAATTATTTTTCACCTCTTCCCAGAACTCAACCTTCTCTTTAAACTTTGAGTACGAATAAAACAATATGCATCACAACCAATCCCACTAAAGAAAGAAAGAAGAGATAAGCGATGCACTTTGATCTTCCATACAAAATCGCACTGATGATAAATACTAACTTTATATAAAACATGATAGCATGATCGATTTTGCATTTAGATACAGCTGCAAAATTCAAATTCGTAATGACGGTTGGAAGAAAATCAGAGAAAAGATATAGAAAAAGAAACATAAAACAATTCTTACCTCTAGAGGTGTAGCAGTGGGGTGTGGAGAATAGGGTATCCCCGGGTACACGGTGCCATTGACTGTGACTGAAGCTGAGGACAGAATCTCGATGAAATGAAGGAAAGATGCATCCTCCTGTGTTTGAAAGAAATGACGAGATAAAACTTAGTGTTAGGACTATCAGATATCGCATCGATCACAAGTCATTTAGTACGCCCCAAAGCCGTACCATCCTCCATCGGTCCCGCGTCTTGTGAATAGTCTTCTGCCGCATTGCTACGACTTGTGATTATTCACATGTACTATTAGCCTCTGTTGCATCTACCTTGGTCCGATTCCCCTTTCGTTTATTTAGGATTACATACATTTTTTTCTCGGGTCCAATTGGCCATATTCTGCTTCAATCACCCCCCCCCCCCTCCTATACGTCGATTCTTCTGTTGTCCCAGTGGTCCTAAGTCACATCGGTCCTTGTTATATTTTTCCTAGCTTTCGTTGGTCCTATGTCATGCTCCATACATGTCCTGGGGCCCGTCTTATAAAGACTTGCGATAGATCCAAATCAATTGCAAACTTTCGATTGATTAATAATAATAATAAGTGGATTTATATAGCGCATTTTCCAAAGGATACAAGGCGCTGTCTCTTAGACTATCAACAATTTAAGAGGACTTCTTAAGACAGGCCCTGCTGTTAATGGTTCCATGTGTAGTTGTCCGGATGGTTCTTTGATTTTTTTTTATTTATTTGTATAGTTATTTACGTATTCATTCATTTATCATTTTTTGCGGGAGAGGGGGAGGGGGGGGGTAATTTTCCTAATTATAGTTATCTGAGGACAGTGGCCCAGATGAAGTATAGTGGGATGATGGGAAACCTACCGCAAACACTGTATCATGCCATAGTCTCGACTGCACGCTGATGAGGATGGCCGAGTCAGCTCCGGTAGCGAGAGAGGCGAGAGGACACCGGATGGCCACGCACTCTGGAAGTGAAGCGCAATCCGCCCATAACGTGTAAATAGTAGAATTACTAACGTCGTCTATGAACGTAGTGACGTTGTTCTGTTAGGTATAAATGATTAGGACAAAAATGAGAGAACACAAGGAGAAGATGTAAAGGACAAAATGAGGAATGGTAGCGACACAAAAAAAAAAACATTGAGAAGTAATAAACGATAAGAATCAACTAGTACTTGATAATATGTTTATGTTTTTGGGACATAAATTGTGACTATTTACAATGATGTAGGACTACAAGTGATCCAAATATATTTTCTACAGGCATTGCAATTAGGTATTCGAATTTCCCTTGAGATGATAGTTTATACATCAGCACTACATCCTGACTTATGGATCCTGCTGAGTATCGTCGTAGAAGTAGAAGTAGAAGTAGAAGATATCTTGAAAGTCTGTGCGATCGTGTTTTGAATCATCTTACCTGCTTCGAACTGTCTCTGTTGATCCTGGGAGTAAACGTACATGGCATCCCTGTATCCATGGTAACGCCTGTCACGTTCATGAGCGTCTTGCCATCCTGGAGTCTGATTGGCCAGAGGATCTCGATGGAGGAGGGGCCGATGAAGCTAGGGCCGTTGTTTTGTAGCTGAATAAAGAAGGTGAGAGAAAAGGTTGGAATGAAAGTAAGAAAGAGACACAGAGACAGTAAGAAAAAGAGGAGAGAGAGAGAGAAATGAGACAGAGAGACCGAGAGACAGAGAGAAAAAAAAGAGAGAGAGAGAGTCAATGATGAAAAAGAAATAGAGAGAAAGAGAGAGAGAGAGAGAGAGAGAGAGAGAGAGAGAGAGAGAGAGAGAGAGAAAGGTTAATGATCTATTTCCGAAAAGGGTGACTACATCTTTGAACAAGTGATAACTACAAATCGCTGCCTCTGTGTTTTCGTTACTAGTTTATATAATTTATAAGTGTATGGGTATTTACCATCATTTGAGTAATATTGTTCATGAATATCAGTAATGTATACTTACTCGAATCACATGTGTCATGAGAGGTCCTTTTTCATCTGTTGCGTTGCTATCCTCTGTTATCACAAGCGTGTCTGGAATTGAATTACTGTCACGAGCAAGAAAGAGAAATAGATGACAAAAATAATTAAAACAAAAACAAAAAACGTTTAAGAAATACCATGTCTCTAAAAATTCAAAATTCAAAAATCAAACAAATCATCAACGGATGAACTAACAGGCTGTTTCGACGTCAAGTGCCTTCTATCCGCCACGACACTAATGTCCTTTGGCAAGATATTAATCTACATTTGCCACTCTCCACCCAGGTGTTAAGATAAAAGAAACCTACAGGAATGGAATCTTATACTTACCCAGAGAGTACAAGACTCGAAGTAGCATAGACTGGGATGGAAACCATGGCCTCATTATCTACATCTCTTCCAGCTCTTTCTGCATCAATACTACATGGCAAATCAAAATCAAAATGTCGAGATTAAAGGTTAAAGTTCATTCAACGATGTACAAAAACTTCTTGACCTTTTTAATTAAAGGGTCAAATATATTCGTGGTCTATTATGTATTTTTAGAAGGATATTTGGAAGCATTATATTATTCTAAACAAATTAGAAATAATAAAGATCGATATATATATATGACTAACTATCAAATGTTCAGATTTCCTGTGCAAGAAAATACACAAGAAAAAAAATTAAACAACAAAAAACAAAATCGAAAGGGGCGAAAGTAAACGAAATGTTCAAAAGAGCAAAGTATATTTATGAAATGAAATGAAAAGAAAAAATGTTCACCTGCAAACTGATATATTCAACACAGCTGGCCCAGTGAATGTACTGTAGGTAGCAGTCTGATACTGTAGGCCTACAGTAATCTATGGGAGAAAACAGAAAGTTGTGATTCAGACACCAATGCCTTACAATTTAATTTAATTCAATTCAATATAATTCACCGGATTAGTAACATGTTCATATTTTATGCATAATTTGTTAACAAAGATTGTTCTTGACAACCTGAAACCTAGCCTGATGCTTGCCCAACATAGCAACAAGTAGTGCATGCGCCCTGGTTTCCGAGTATTGTAGTTCATTCACTGATAACAGGTTAATGGATAACTCATCACTATGTCCCCAGGAAATAAACATCTACAATTTGAATGTAATAGTAAACTGGTCTTTTTAATTCAATCTAATTCGATTCAATTCATGTTAGTACAATTCATTAGACCGGCTTAAACTTATTAGTAAAGAACGATTCTTAAAGTCTGCAAGGAATTAATTCCTACCTGATCACCGGCTGGTACAGGATTGCCAATATTACATGATCGTATGCGTTTGGTTGTCGATACAGAACACGATACAATGATACCCTGTGGACAATAATGACAGAGATTTTAAGTTTCAGTTTCAGTCAGGGGATTATTTCACCTTTGACCTTAAGAGATGCAACATAAGACATGAGCTATAAACCTGGTCGCAAAGACTTTCAATAAATGAATATAAGGGCATTTTGAATACCTTATTGTATCTTTTGTACAAATCAAGTTCGGATTTATTACGTCATTGTAATGTTTTCATCTTACACAAGGTGATATTCAAGGCTATTGGGATGGTTTTTGGTCGATTTTTCAAAAGTCATTGGAATGATGTTTATCATGGTATGTTCATTTTCATTACCTCATTAATGTAATAAAGTTTCTCCTAATTCTCAAGCTCAAGTTTGCACATAGTGTTATTTCTCGTCGGTAAAAAGAAAAGAAAATAGATAAGCAACAAAAAGATAATTTTACAGAGAGAGAGAGAGAGGGGGAGAGGGAGAGGGAGAGGGAGAGGGAGAGAGAGAGAGAGAGAGAGAGAGAGAGAGAGAGGGAGGGGGGGTATGGCGGGATATAGATTTAAAAACAAATTTAAATGAAGTTAAAATGAATCCATCGAACGATTTCCTCTTGCTCTAAAGTCTTAATTGTTATCTTTAATATTTCTGAACCCCCCCCCCAAAAAAAAACAAAAAAAAATCACCGCCATTTTCCTTCCTTAACTATTGGAGCCACTCTCGAACCATGCTTACTGTGTTTGATCGTAGAACATTGACGAAGAATAGACCAGGTGGTTCGACGATGTCGAGTACGGATAGGAAAGCGTCTTCGCCGCTGTTCATGACATCGATTGTGAGTAAGAAGGTTTCAGCCTTCCCGATCATCAGTTCCGTGGTCGAACTGCATGGTGATGATGAAGGAAAAGCATAGAGAGATAGAAGAAAGTATCCTTTTTATGATCTTCAACATCACAGCAAAATAATAAATTAGAAACGGAAATTCATAGAAAATGAAAACGAGAAGGGGAAAATAAATAAGAAGAGTTTAGAGTTTCATCATTTACATTCATCAGTTGCGTGGTCGAACTGGATGATTGTGAAACAATGGAGGTGCCGAAATACAGAAGAAAACAATGCGCTTATTGCAATATTTAACATAAATAAAATATCATGATATAACTGGAATTAGCATTCTTAATGCTAATTCCAGTTTTATCATGATATTATTCGTACTTCTAATAATCTCTCTTTTGTTTTTGGTTCCTCACTTTACTTTTTTTCCACAATAATTGTGGGAAAAAAGTCAAGTGAGGAACCAAAAACAAAAGAGCGATTATTAGAAGTACGAATAGTTTGCAGAAAAGAAAAACGAGGAAGAATACAAATATAAATATAACAAAACAATGAAAATTACAAGACATCTTACACAATTGTCTGAACTGCAAGATCTGGATAGCATGTTTCACCGGCACAATCCCTGGCAAAGACAAGCTACAATCCAAGAAAAAGAGGAGAGAAAACGGAATAAGCAGAATAATAAGTAAACCTGACAAAACCCTATAATTATGTTTATTATATCACTGACATACTACTTTATGGAGCAGAATCCTGGACTGTAAGAAAAGAAGATAGCGCCAGTGTTTGAAATGGCATACCTCCGTCCAGGCGCGTACGCATGGTGGGGGGGGGGGGGGGGGTTACCCCCCTCAATTTTGTTATGAATGTGTTTTGGTGGACCCCCCCCCCCTCAATTTTTTTTTAATTACAAAAAAATAAGGCAAAGGGTGACAAAAAAATTGACCCTACCCCCCCCCCCCCTTACTGAACGAAATATCGGTCGGCATAATTTTCCAATTTTCGGGACAAAAAAAAAATGTCACGTCCTAAGAATGAAACCCACAAGATACCCCAAAATTGCTGTTGAAGGAAACGTCCCAGAGGCCGTCCATCCAAAAGATGGATTGACTGCATCTCAGAGGACTGCAAAGCAAGATCTATAACAAGGCTGACGGATGCATCAAGACTGGCTGCAGACAGAAATACCTGGCATACCATCACCATACAGAAGCCATCACAAGGCCCCTTGCCTGCGTGGACGGCATAAGTCAAAACAAATTTGTAATTTTACAATCTGTGAAGATTAAACGAATGGATTTGTCTACTTTTTTCATTTCAATTAATGTCGATGTGAAGGTGGACCCTCCAGCCCTTAGTAGATCCGAACTAAATATAACAATGCAACATACCGAGTTCATTATCTGGTCACTGGCCCCGTTGTATAGAAAAGCTTGATTGATGATGACCCTGTGCCCCCCCCCCCCCCCCCGTGGCGAAACTAAAGTGTTTTTTTTGGGGGGGGGGAGATGGGGGGTCAACTCTCTTTAAGCCACCCATCTCCAAAAAATATAGTTGTATGGCAAATGATTGTAGAAATTGAACGAAAGAACCCCCAGATCCTTAAACCCCCTAAACCCCCAAACCCCCAAAGCCACGAAAATATTTTTCTGGAACCTCTTTTGTCCCCTCCCTTAGTGGGATCCAGAGTAGCATAGACAAATCGAATACAATTTACCGAGTTGAGTGTCTGGTTATTGACGGCGTTAGACATGATTGGTTGTACAGCAGAGTCTGATTGAGATGTCTGAGCCACACTGTGAATCAGCCGAAGACTCATTGGAGTCTGCTTGTCTCGAATGGTAGGCTGCAAAAGGAAATAATGGAAAATATTCAATTTAAAACTGCTTAACATATCCTAGAATACATGAATGTAATTCTCTTCTGAGCATGAAGAAGTCGGGAAGGTGAAATACATGAATCCATCCATTTATCTCTTAATAATAATAAAAAAAACATTTTACGTCTAGTTACAAGATTTTGAAACATGATCCCATTTCCGTTTTAATTGGTTGGCTGCATTACTTTAAAATCATTTTTATGTAATTTTAGTGTCTCGTTAATGACTATTAAAGGTATGTCCCATTTACAGGCCGAAAAATAATGAGGTTAAATACCAACATCATTTGAAAGACAATACTAATTTAATACTACCCTCAAAACGAAAATTCCTAGAAATGTCTTTTAGTGGGAAAATAACGACCATACTAGGACACTGCTAAAATACACAGATAGGACATACATGACATATTCATAATTGCTGCAAAGTTCTACAGAATTTGATGTTGGCTGCAAAGGGACATAGTATCTTTAATGCACACGAGGCGTCATTTTGCTGACACATGACTGCGTCAGCGACTTGCATTTTCTTTGCCAATTGAGGTGTCAATTCGACTGCGCCTTTCCCTGCGCTAATCAAACATGTGGATACAATTAGCACACAAACAAGTAATTGAACGCAATGTTTGCACAATTCATTTTACATTTGTTGTTATACTATATCACTTTCGCAGGGTGCGTCAACCAGCGTCAACAATTACTGACGGAGTCCTGCGTCAAGCAAATGACGCATCGTGGGCAACGGACATAATGTTCTAATTGTAACGATGGTTACTGACCTGAATAAATGCAGCATGTGTCATGCATGTTGGTTGTTCAATTGGCGCACTGATTTGATGGCGAAGAGTAGCGATGTTGTTAGTAATGAATGCAGCTCGACGGTTGATTACTTGTCTTAAGGAGTCCAAAACAATCTCGTATGAAAAATCTGGTCAAAAGGAACGACATCGTGATAAATAATCAACTGAAGAAGAAGGGAATGACATATTTTTAGAGTAGCAGGAACATGAGCACACAGGGAACAGGCTATTTTCATAGTGTGTTCACATAAAGTGTAAATCTTTGTAGACAAACTATTGGTAAACTCCAGGGGAGTGTTTCACAAAGACTAAGATCGACTTTAAGTTGGACTTAACTATGACAGGCTGTTCATGCCACTGGTTGCTATCACAATTGGTCTCTCAATTATGATCTTTAGATAATATTCTTTCCTTCAATAATGAACTATAAAAAAGGTAAATTCTGTAGATTTGTGACCACGTTTTGTACCTCCCTTGAGAAACCAATGCCAGGAATGGTTAGAGGAACTAGTGGCACGAATAGCCTGCCATAGTTCAGGCCAACTTAAAGTCGATGTCAGTCTTTCTGAAACACACCTGGCATAATAGGGAGTGTTGTAGATGACTAACTAACCATGTCCATTGATTAGCAGGACGGTGCACTGGGAGGGTTACACTGCCTTCTTTAATTTCTCGTTCACCTTCTCCTTCTATTTTTCAACTCGCCTATCAATGTCTTTCTGGGTCGTTATTCTTTCACCATTCAGTGGAGGGGGGGGGGGCGGGTCTCGAGCCCCTCGTACCTCTGGCTACCCCGCTGCCCCGTATGTGTGTGTGTGTGTGTGTTTTTTTTATATTTTACTCACCTAAATTAGCTGGTAATCCTTGACCCATGTAGTGAAGGCACACGACAACATTAAACCTTAGGAATAAAAGAAATCAAAAATCAAAATCAAAACAGATATGAAAATATCACATAGAGGCGTATGGTATTAGAGGAATAGGGAAAATGGCTGTAGAGAGGGGGAGAGAGGGAGACAAAAACTAGATTGAGAGAGAGAGAGAGAGAGAGATGAGAAAGAGATAGAGAGAGGGAGGGGGAGGGGAAAGGTGGGATGTGAGGGGGTAGACAAACAAAGGGAGGGCAATTCAGGGGGAGGGGTAGACTTTGAAACAGTGAATGACATAAAATTCTGATTGGAAATTTCAGAGTTCGATTCGAAATGTTTTGTGTTACCCTGTCACGAGAACACCCCTTGATGTTGTCACACTCTTTACATCCAGATCAATGGCGTTCTCCTCTGGATATATTTCTGCAACGGTCCATACTACTGCTCTCGACCTGTTCAACAAAACAAGAAACGATTTAAAATCAGTTCGACCCCAAGCGAATGGTGGGGTAGGGGGTGGGGTAGGGGGAGGGGAGGACAACCGACCCGTTCTCGCCAAACCAAGATTGTGCACTCTTATATATGTCAGGAGATGAGTTTTTATATAAATTATTTTATCTCAATTCGTTGTCCATATGGTGTTGACATATCGTGTAATATATAGAAGCATAAGATCTCACATCGTATGACGAACGAAGCAATTCTACCGATACACCGTTTAAATGTTCTGAAATATTCATGTTGTTTAAAAGTTAGCTTACCGAAAGATTATTGCAGTTTGAGACTCGTGTGCTCCAACAGCGAAATCTAGAAGAGATCAGAGGTAGAGATAACAAAAAGTTCCCTTTTTACCACTTCTCTCTGTTATAAGAAATAGTATTTATATGATTGAACCCTATGAAATATTTTAGGCAAGTTTATTTATTTTTAATTTAGCGCCATTTTGCTAGTGACTAAAAATGTGAATCCGACGTGATTTACATGTTAAAAGACAATAACGTTTCGTTGATGTGTTACCGGATTTCTCTCTCTATTTACATGTATCTCTCTCTCTCTCTCTCTCTCTTTCTCTCTTTTTATCTCTATTTCTGTCTCTTTCTGTCTCTTTCTCTCTCTCTCTCTTTCTTTGTCTCTCTAGTTAGCTACCTTATCTACCTCTCTAATTATTGCTCGGTCTGAAGGTTTTTCCTCAAAAACATTATGTTGACTTCTTCCCTACCCATATATAAATATAATTTGTTGAAAATTATCAAAATACATCATAAATCATACACACTATAAATATCAGGAAATTACCTTGTGGAAAACTGAAGATTTAATCAATGCATTATTCAAAAATAGACCAATGTAGAAAAAAATATCACCATGATATACGAGATCTGCAAAATCTTTTTAATTGGAGAATGTTTTTTCTCATCGGATATCGGGCTCATTATTTTCTATAATTAGGTGGTCTGTCAACGACAGATCACCTATTGATTTCGCTAGAATTTTCTTTCTTTATTCTTTATTCTTTATTCTTTATTTCTTTATTAGGTGGTCTGTCAACGACAGATCACCTATTGATTTCGCTAGAATTTTCTTTATTCTTTCTTTCTTTCTTTTTATTTCTTCCGTACACTTTTTTGTGCACAATTTTACTCGACATCGACAAGGTCAATTTCCTTCGAAATTTCTGTCAGTCATCAGGTCCTATAATATCAAGTTCCTAAAACCTTTTTCAAGTTCATGGGGTCATCGTGACGTCATCCAGGCGCCATTTTGTAAAAATCAGGTCATTATCATATCTCAATAACGAGTCATCAAAAATCAACCATATTTGGTATACATCAACTTCAAGTCATAGGTCAACTAAAAATGTCAACAAAATCCGTGCGCGCACCTTGACGCGCACGTACGCGCGCATCAAAATTTTAAAATGCTCAAATTCATTCCAAATTTTTTTTGCACACGTTTCAGGCCATTGTAAGCATTTTCAAAATTTGCGCGCGAGCACTTATATTTTTGCGCGTCGTAACCGCGCGTACTAACATTTTGCAACATGGAATTGCCAAATTTTCACTATTATATTTATTACATTTTTCCAAGCATTTTGATACCTTGTTCACCTTTTTTTGACCAGTAATAACGCAATGAGCGTCCGTCAAAGTTTACAGTACGCGCGGATCTGCGCTATCTGTATCCACAATACATGTGCAAAAACATGCCTATACAAAATTCATTGTAACTCTTCAGAATGGATGGTTACCCCCCATTTTTTTAAATATTTGGATAGATTATGAGTCGGAGATATGATTTCATGTCTCATTTGACCCTCAATTAACTCATGACGTCATCATAATGGCCTCCGAACTCAAAATTTCAATTTTCATATTATGACGTCAGCAGATTTTTGGAAAATTGATTGTATCTCTGTAAATATTGATCAATTTTGTTTCAAATTTTGATATGTTCTACCTGAGAATATTTTCTACAAATGCAGTTACCACGATATTTCATTTTGACAATTGTATCATGGCGTATTTTTGCGATTAAAGGAGGCATGTCAATTTTTTACATTTTGCGTGTATTCTCTATGGGACATGACTTTTTCTCAAAACTGGATTCTACATTCTCGTCTTTCGCGAGCAATATCTCCGTCGTTTTATCTTTGTTTACGCTGAGCTTTAAGTATGTGTTAGCTGAGACAATAAGCTATCACAAGTGTGCCCTTTATTTTTCGATCAGATGCCGGGATCATGCTCATATTTCACTTACAAAGTGGGATTTGAGAATTCCATTTTCCGTTTACGCGCACGTTTGTGTTCGTAATGGTCGTACGCAACCTAAAATCTCCTTTTTTTTGTCTATCATAATATTGCCCATTTTATTCCGAACAATTTGATACCATGTTTATCTCTTTATGATCATTAATAACGAAATGAGCGTCCGTTCAAGGTAAATTCCGTTCAAACACTCAATTAACTCATGACGTATTTATGATGGCCTCCGTTCAAGGTAAATGTCTGGGCGTGCGAGCTCTTGTAATACATAGCATATATGGGCAAAAACATGCCTATACAAAATCCATTGTAGCTCTTTAGGACGAAGATGACCCCAATTTTTTTTTCATATCTTGATAAAGTATGAGTCGGAAATATGATTTCATGTCTCATTTGACCCTCAATTAACTCATGACATCATCATAATGGCCCTCCGAACTCAAAATTTCAATTTGCATATTATGACGTCATCATATTTTTGGAAAATTGATTGTATCTCTGTAAATATTGATCGATTTCATCCAAATTTTGATATGTTTTAGCTGAGACAATTCTCTACAGATGCAGTATCCACAAATTTTCATTTTGATGAAAATATCATGGCTTTTTTTTGCGATTAAAGGAGGCATGTCAATTTTTTACATTTTGCGTGTATTCTCTATGGGACATGACTTTTTCTGAAAACTGGATTCTACATTTCCGTCTTTCACGAGCATCATCTCCGTCGTCTTAGCTTCGTTTTCGCTGAGCATCGAGTATGTTGTAGCTGAGACAATAAGCTATCACAAATATGACATTTATTTCTCGATCAGATGCCGGGATCATGCTCATATTTCACTTGCAAAGTGGGATTTGAGAATTCCATTTTCCGTTTACGTGTGATCTCTCTGGGAAATGTTTTGGTATATCGGTAACGCACTTGACTTCCGACCTCGAGGTCCCTAGTTCGAGTCCGGGCGTCTCCAACAATTTTTTTTCTTCATTTTTTTTCTTTTTGACCTTTCACTGTACCATCTCATTTGAATATTAAAACACGTAGAATCGCAAATAATGTAATAAACAACTATATTTAATTTATTATTACCCTATTATCACTTGATCCATTACTTTTGGCTTGTAATACTTATGGGAGATGACTTTTTCTTAAATCTGGATTCTACATTCCTGTCTTTTGCGAGCAATATCGCCGTTATTTCCGCTTGTTTTTTGTTGATTTTTTTAGTATAATGTAGCTGAGACTATATGCTATCTACATCTCCCTCATTTTTTCAATCAGATGTCAGGATCATGCTCACGATCATGATCATGATCATCATGATCATGATCATGATCATCAACATCATCATCGTCATCATCAACATTATCATTATCATCTTCATCATCGTCATCACCATTAATATCAAGATCATCATCATCATCATCATCATTGTTTACATGTCTATATAACTTCTCCCATTCTCAAATCTATCATAAGACTTAGACAGACCACCTTATTCGTCTTCGTGACGAATTCAAGTCTAGTTTTTATTTCTTCCGTACACTTTTTTGTGCACACGTTTACTCGAAATCGACAAGGTCAATTTCCTTTGAATTTCTGTCAGTCATCAAGCCCTATGATTTCAAGTCTAATTAACTTTTTCAAGTTCATGGGGTCATCGTGACGTCATCCAGGCGCCATTTTGTAAAAATCAGGTCAGTATCATATCTCGATAACGAGTCATCAAAAATCAACCATATTTGATATACATCAACTTCAGGTCAAAGGTCAACGAAAAATGTCAAAAAATTTTGCGCGCGCATCTCGACGCGCACGTACGCGCGCATTAAAATTTTAAAATGGTCAAATTCGTTCCAAATTAATTTTGCATACGTTTCAGGCCATTTTAAGCATTTTCAAAATTTGCGCGCGCGTAATTATGCGCGCGCGTTTCTGCGCGTATCCGCGCGTCCTGGCATTTTGCAACATAGAATAGCCAATTTTTTTCTGTTATCATATTTATTACATTTTTCCAAGCATTTTGATACCTTGTTTACCTTTTTCCGACCAGTAATACCGCAATTAGCGGCTGTCAAAGTTGAACGCACGCGCCGACCTGCGTTATCTGTATCCACAATACATGGGCAAAAACATGCCTATACAAAATTCATTTTAACTCTTCAGAATTGATAGATAACCCCCAATTTCTTTCATATTTAAATAGATTATGAGTTGGAGGTATGATTTCATGTCTCATTTGACCCTCAATTAACTTATGACGTCATCATAATGGCCTCCGAACTCAAAATTTCAATTTGCATATTATGACGTCAGCAGATTTTTGGAAAATTGATTGTATCTCTGTAAATATTGATCAATTTTGTTTCAAATTTTGATATGTTCTACCTGAGAATATTTTCTACAAATACAGTCACCAGGATATTTCATTTTGACAATGGCATCATGGCGTATTTTTGCGATTAAAGGAGGCATGTCAATTTTTCACATTTTGCGTGTATTGTCTATGGGACATGACTTTTTCTCAAAACTGGATTCTACCTTTTTGTCTTTCGCGAGCAATATCTCCGTCGTTTTATCTTTGTTTACGCTGAGTTTTGAGTATGTTGTAGCTGAGACAATATGCTATCGTATTTGTGCCCTTTATTTTTCGATCAGATGCCGGGATCATGCTCATATTTCACTTACAAAGTGGGATTTGAGATTTCCATTTTTCGTTTACGTGTAATCTCTATGGGAAATGTTTTGGTATATCGGTAACGCACTTGACTTCCGACCTCGAGGTCCCTGGTTCGAGTCCGGGCGTCTCCGTCAATTTTTTTCTTCACTTTTTTTTCTTTTTGACCTTTCACTGTACCATCTCCTTTGAATATTAAAACACGTACAATCGCAAATAATATAATAAACAACCATATTTCCTTTATTATTCCCCAGTATCACTTGATCCATTACTTTTCGCGTGTAATCCTTATAGGAGATGACTTTTTCTCAAATCTGGATTCTACATTCTTGTCTTTTGCGAGCAATATCGCCGTTATTTCGGCTTGATTTGTGTTGATTTTTGAGTATGTTGTAGCTGAGACTATATGCTATCTAAATGTTCTCTCATTTTTTTCAGTCTGATGTCATCATGGTCTGTTGATGATAATCATCAACATCATCATGATCATCATCATCATCATCGTCATCACAATTACTATCAAGATCATGATCATCATGATCATCATGACGATCATCATTGTTTACATGTCTATATAACTTCTCCCTTTCTCAAGATAGTAAATATTATAATCTATCATAAGACTTGAAGACAGACCACCTTATTCGTCCTCGTGACGAATTAAATTCTAGTTGTTTTTAGTTCTACCTGTCTAAGTATCTTCTCCCGGTTCGGAGGTTGATTGCAAGATCTCTCCATTTCATGTTATCTTCTGCCATTCTGGTGTACTCTTGCAGTTTTTAGTCCACTCCAGTTCTTGACATTCTCTTCCCAGTTGATTCTGGGTTTCCCTCCTAAGACTTGAAGACAGACCACCTCATTCGTCCTCGTGACGAATTAAATTCTAGTTGTTTTTAGTTCTACCTGTCTAAGTATCTTCTCCCGGTTCGGAGGTTGATTGCAAGATCTCTCCATTTCATGTTATCTTCTGCCATTCTGGTGTACTCTTGCAGTTTTTAGTCCACTCCAGTTCTTGACATTCTCTTCCCAGTTGATTCTGGGTTTCCTTCCTTCTTCTCTCCAACAATTTTTTTAGAGGCTTTGGTGCCTTTTAACATGACCAGAGTATTTGACTTTCTTTCCTAAACTAATCCTACCATTGCAATTTGCCTACGCCCTGCCATGTGCAATATCTCTCTGTTGGTTTTCATTCGTTTCCAGTATATTATCATCATTCTTCTGTAAATCCACATTTCAAAGTTTTTAGTTATATATTTTTATTACAAATGTTTTAGCTATTTCTTAGCTCACCCGGATATGTATTTTGATCAACGTCAAGTCCTGCTGACATCACAAAGCCGAAGAACTTCAAGGGTCTCCCTAAGACCGACGGACTCAAGGTCTACAGGAGATATGAAATGTATAATGGTTAACGTGATTAGGTATGTATGCTAAGAAAGAAGGATTAACATTTGTGGGGGAAGGCGGAAAATAAGGGTACATGTATCCTATTGGGATCTAATTCGCTAACTCTTTACTGAAACCTTCTCCTTTTCCTCTTCCGTCGTCTTCTTTTTTTCTTCTTCTATTTGTCCTTTTCTTCTTCTTCTCCTTATCCATTGCTCTTCATCATTGTTATCTATCCCTTCTCCTTTTCCTCTTCCGTCTTCTTCTTTTTTGTCTTCTTCTATTTCTCCTTTTCTTCTTCTTCTCCTTATCCATCGCTCTTTATCATTGTTATCCACCCCCCCCAAAAAAAAAAAAAAGAAAAAAAAAAAAAGAAGAAGAACGTTGTTCTGTCTGTGTTGTGTGTGGAGAATGAGAGAGGGAGAATAAGAGAGGGAGAGGTGAAAAGGAGGGAAGAAAAGGAGGGGCGCATGTTCGGCAAATTATGGCGAGGGTGGGGAGGGCTGTGGGGAAGGCTGGGGGAGGGGGGGGGGTCGTCTGCCCTAGCTCCCGTAACGATGTCCTCGATCGGGACTGACTAACCTGTTGTGGTGAGAGATTGAGAGGTAGGTTTATTCCTGATCCGTGGTAGATGAAAACCTTTCCGTCATTACCGCCATTACAGAAGGGTGCACCCACAGCCAAGTCTACAAACGGGTCCAAGTTGAGAGATAAGAAAGGAAACAAATACATGATAAAACACTAATAAAGAAAATTTAAAAGAAGTAATGAGGATGCGAAAAGTAAATGAAGAAAGATAAGAGAATGCAATGCAAGAGATAGATAGAGAGAGAGAGAGAGGGAGAGAGAGAGAGAGAGAGAGAAAGAGGGAGAGAGTGAGAGAGAGTGAGAGAATGAGAAATGGAGGGAAGGGGGAGTGGGTGGAAGAAGGGGAAGGAGACTGGATAATGAATATCAAAATAGAGTTCTGCGGAGTTTGGGTGAGTCAAGGAAATAAAGACCCACAAATCATGAGGGCACACGTATATAGAGAGACAGATTTTTTTTTTTTCCTCAACTCCGATTTGTTTATCTTTACTAGTCAAATTTACTGTACCGTTGTTTTCAGAAAGAAATGTTGGATCAAAAAGAATAATAATTGACCGTTAATAGACAAATCGTGTTTGTTTACTTTAAATTCTAAATAGATCAAGAAGTAAGACATGGCTCACCATTAAATCCATCTTGGTTGATGTCGCCCAAAGCGGCGATAGAATAGCCAAAGCGACAGCCAGCACCAGTCCCAATGATGACGTCATTTTCATCGAAGTAAAAACTTCCCTGTAACAACAATTATAGATAGTCTTAGGGAAAACGTCTCAATTAAAAAAAAACATATTGACTTTCTTGTATATCACGTAAGTCGAATAGGTACAGTGACATCAATGCGAAACACAAGATAAATATCGAACGCGATTTAAATATACCCATTGCACATAACTTTGCAAGATTTTGCATTTTTTTTAGTTATAACGATATCATTTACGCATGTAATAAACAAATGAATGAATGAACAAACAAACAGTGAATAAACGAACATAAAAAATGTTTAGAAAAAGATAAATGAATGAATAAATATATTAACAAAAATGTATATTAATGATGAATAAATAAATGAATAGACAAATATGTATCGAATGAATAGATAAATAAATATCTTAATAAAGTAACAACAAATAAGTGAATAGATACTAAAGTGAAATTTGCCAGATCTCGATTGAAGCGAATTTTTGCTATAGAGTGTTAACCTGTTGATCGTTGTAGTATATGAAGATTTTCCCAACCTCCCATCCAGCGTCTATTGATCTCTCCTCATCGGTAAACATTGGCGCACCAATGACCAGATCATCAAATCTTTTGTGGGTGAGAGGTTGTACAAGAAGTATTGTGTCATTACGTCATTGTAAATGTAAATGATGTTCGTCGTATGTATTCTTGAAGCTGCTGCACCATTTCGACATCAACTAAGGCTACCAACCTTGGAAAAAAAATTATGCCTAACTTTAGTTTATGTTTTGTGCCAACATGACCGCCTAAGTACATGTAGCTTATCCTAGGACTTGAGCAAATACCACACGATTCGGGGACAGAATTGGCCCTGAGTTGATCGGATTTGTAGTTTGGAAAATATTCTAAATATTTTCATAGAGTAATCTTTATTTCTTTCATTCATAAAAACAAATAAACTTATCTCTATCCTCTCTTTATTTACAATTGTCGTTTTCCGCTCATAGGCAAAAGGTCATTTGTACAAAACTGTAAAAACCCATCGAGATGCCTGCTGGATACGTGTTCATGAAAGTAATGCGATCATTATTCATTTATGCACCGACGGTATATTCTCTGATACACACGTAAAGGTATTCAAGAGGTAATTCAAGAGGGCAAACCAATGTTTATTCATTAAGCACCTCAATTCCTTTGGCAGTGATTATTTTAAAATTGTGGGAAGTCTCCATGTGTAAAAAATCCGAGGATATTTGGTTGTCATTTGTACAAGTGCTTTCTCTGAAGTGGCTTATTCTCTAATGCTATGGTCACATTATCCAAAAGTAGCCTGCTCGGCGGCCGAGCGGCGAGTTTTTAACCAATTCTGCCCAGCGGCGGCCGCCCAGGCACCGCTCGTTTTTAGGGCATCGCTCGGTCGCCGCTGAAGTTTTAGCGCGGAGTTAAAATTTGGGCGGCGCCTGCTCACTTTTCACTCGCCGCCCAAAATACGCTCGGTGCCTGGGCGGTCCCCGCCCGGGCACCGACCTAATCGCTGGGCGATGCCTAAATTCCAGCAGCGACCCGCTGCTCTGATTTGTGACCATAGATTTATCGGCAATTTATCTTTAAAATGTATACCTATGAATAATTTTGGATGTCTATGCGTCAATCTTTTTATTGCAAAGAAAGCCCAGAGTTCAAAACTAATGATAAATAGGGACTTTTAGATTTGCACGACGAGAACGTGGACTGCGACGTCAGACGTGTGACATCCTTTTAAGGCAATGTGACGTCCTTTTAAGGCACTGGCAGTGACGTCACATTGCCTTCAAAGGATGTCACACGAGCAGTCCACGTTCTCGTCGTGCAAATCTAAAAGTCCCTAATGACAAAAACCTACCCATCGTTATTGAGATCCGAAGTAGCTAAGGCATGGCCAAAATACGTGGCTAAATCGCCATCAGTGATTATATCATACTCCATGAAGGCATCATCGTACAAGAACACCTATTTACAAACAAAAGTAGGCAATTATAAAGGGAAAATAAGTCATAACTTCAGGCGGACATTACATTGTCGTTACATAATGACAGTTTGGAATGCAAACCACAAAATCTAAAATTACAACTGAAATGAATTTTGCACATTGCACGTCTGAAAAATGTGTAAAATACATGTATTTAGCAATTTTCTAGACACTTCTCCAATAATCTTGTCAAAATGTTGCTTTGAATTCCTCAAGGGTTTGGTGTCCCACAGGCATCCGTATTAGGGCCACTCATGTTCACCTACAAGACTTTAGTGAAAGATATGATCAACGTTATATCAAAACACTGTAATTATTACAATTTTTAACATTATGATCATCATTATCATCAAGGAAGTACAGGATTTTTCTTTGCAAATCAGGATAACACTAACGAAATATTGTATCCATGGCGACGGCCGTCTGCATGATTCAAGTCAACACGAATTTATACTCTTACTAACCCGCCCAAATCCATGATCCCAGCGTGGTGCGGCAATGGCAACTTCTAAGGTGGGGCCATCCCGAAAATTTCCAAATGCAACAGCGTGACCTGTCAATAAAAACATAAACAATAATTAGAATATGATAACAGATTTATCAATATACCGAATCTGCGAAGTTGTTTAAAAAAGCAAACGTTATTAATTTAAAAAAAAAAAAAAATCGTCTTTAAAAAAAGGTAAACTATGAAATAAAGTACTGTACCCACTCAACAGTTCAGTTGCAATGATACATAGACTGATTCTATTTTGAAAGCGAAAAACTTACTCATAAAGGATATTTGTCAATCTCTGTTAATCTCTGTTTTAGATTTGAAATACATACAATGCAAAGAACTAATTGCCTCCCTCACCCTATCCATATGTTTTGGATTTAGGACTCAATTTGTAATGTTTATTGGATGGAATAGGTGACTGGTAAACCAGAGGATTAAGAAGAAGAGGATGAGGAGGAGGAATAAGAAGAAGATGAAGAAGAAGAGGAGTAAAGAGAAGAAGAAGATGAAGAGGAAGAGGAGTAACATTAAGAAGAAGAAAAAGAAGAAGAAGAAGAAGAAGGTGCAGAAGGTGAAGAAGAAGAAGAAGAAGAAGAAGAGGAGAAAGAAGATGAAGAAGAAGAAGAAAAAGAAGAACAAGAACAAGAACAAGAAAAAGAAGAAGAAGAAGAAGACGAGGAAGAAGAAAAAAGAAAAAAAGAAGAAGAATTTCTCAATATTGGATAGTTTGTTAAATCCCACTATCATTCCTCAATTCATACTTCCATTCAACGTCTCAACATGAAGAACGTCTAGGAATAACTTATAAATATACAGTAACGACCAAATTGATACCTCATTGAGAAGAAAAAACACCAACAAACATACCCAAACGTTTGGATAATTAATCTAAGATATTTGAGAAATCTGTTGACTAACCGAAGTAATATACAAATTCGGGATTAAAGCCGCATGTTTGTGGAAAATAGAACAGAGCAGACGCATCAGTAATCCCATCATTTGTGGACCAAATACGACCTGAAGAGAACGAGAGAAAAAAAGTCACATTGGTCATGAAATAAACATTAGTTAAGAATATGAACACATTAGTCTCAGACGGTCTTTAAAGTGTCTACCTGTCGAACCTAAGATCGTCGGTTCAACTTCTACCGAGGCGGATCACCGAAGCCTGCTTTGTGTGTTACTACTACTACTACTACTACATCTATTTTTGATAATATTAATAATGATAAAACATTGGTAGTTGATTAAAGAATTCTCCTGTACTCATGGTATTATACTCCATGTACCAGTCGTATTTTTCTCTATTTTATATTAAATTTTTGCTCTGTGAGGGAAATTTTGTATCTTACCATTCCACAAACAGCCTCCGGTAGCACCGTATACAATCTTAGTCTGTTTGGATTAAAAAAAGAAGTTAAATTAAGAACAAAATGGACAAATTAGAAGGACAAATTAGATGGACAAATTAGATGAACGAATAGATGAAGAATTTATTAAGTCTATTGATATGAGCAGTTGTATCATCTTCAAACCAAGTTTAAGTACATGTATGTGGTTTTAGATACCTGCATGGGCAGTTTATCAGTTGCAGAAGTGCCGTGGTCTAGTGGACACTTTTCTGGACCGAAGATTACATTTGGTCCGCACTTCGAGTCCCGCCGCAGCATTAATGTCCTTTGGCAAGACATTAATCTACATTTGCCACTCTCCACCCAAGTGTTAAATTGGTACCGGTTGGAAGGGGTTTCTTGAATGCTGTGAACACCGGAATCGGGCGTGACTTGAAATCGCGTGAGGTGCGTTGCACACGAGGAGTCATTTTATTACGTAGTGACCTATGCAGTCTGTTATGCAACATACACCTGGGCCCCGTCTTACAAAGAGTTGATATCAATCATAACTTATTTGCGATTGATATCAATCACAACTATGTACATAAGAGAAAGGAGACTGCAAACTTGCGATTGATTGGAGGACTTACGATTGATTTGGATCGATCGTAACTCTTTGTAAAATGGGGCCCTGTACGTCAGTGACATGGCGCAAAAAAGGAATGCAAGATGTACGGTGCAATCCTTGAATTGAATTATATGTACTAGCAAATGCTCTAATTCACTTTAAAGGCCTGTCCCCGCAACTCAAAGAAAAGATAGCGATTTGATCGATATTTTGCGATTGATCGTGATGTACAATCGATTGTTAAGTAGTGTGTTACAGGGCCAGGACGCTGATTAGCGCAGGCCACTGACGCAATCATAATAACGCCTCGTGTGCAGCGGACATGAAGATTACTTACATCTCTCACAGCAGCGCTGCCACCAAACTCGCAACCGTATTCGATGCGATAACCCACCGTGTTAGCTAACAAAGATAAAACAATGTATGAAGGCAAAATCAGTCTTATGTGTGACGCATAATTATTGTATTAACCCGTAGCAGTTCCGTGTCGCCTCTTGGTGAGACTTTAAACAAAACATAATAATCTGGGATTTGAGGAATAAGACATTATACATGAGCAGAAAAAAGCAAAAATTTGTGTTGAGTGAATTGTTTTTTTCATGAATAATAACGATTTAAATGTTCGTAGTCATTACAGCCTCTTAATCGGCATTATCTTTGTTGTTGTTTGGTACGAGGACTGGATAATAAGTATGTAGACCCCTCTGTCTATAAATCTATCACATTTAAATTGAGAATAGATCTTTTTTAAAGAAGAAAGAAAAGAAAGTAAAAAGAAAGAAAGAAAGAACTAAAGAAAGAAAGAACAAAAGAAAGTCAAATCTCACCAGCGCAAGGGTTAAAATTAACAGCTGTGTCCAAAAGACCCGGATTGGGTGATGTCAGACCCCCATTGATGACGAAACAGCCACCTCGTAAGTATCGTTCTACATCTTGATTGTTATCGATATTTTGATAGGAGTACAGCGGTCTGCATACCTAGATTTACCAAGGGAATAGACAAATGACAATTTGGAACATTTTAGATTTATATCACCTAATACTTCTACGATGGCCTTGAAGCAATCTACATTATATATTGCTCATTATTTGTTCTCATCATCAGTTTCAGAACTGTAAGATGATGTTAGGTATAAATGATATCATTCATTATTTAATAATAACCAACCCTGAACCGTCTGTGACTCTACTCTGCAGGGTAGAACCTAATTGGCTATCGTCATCATTACCACCACCATCACAATCATCACCATCATCATCATCATCATCATCATCATCTCAATGATCATCATCACTTACACCCTTACCATTATCATCTCTATCATCATTATCACCATCAATATCATCACCTACACCATCACTATCATCGCCACCACCACCGCCACCACCATCACCACCATCATCATCATCATTACCACAACCATCATCATCATCATCATCATCATCATCACCACCGTCATCATCATCATCACCATCATCATCATCATCACCACCACCACCACCACCACCACCATCATCATCATCACCTACACCCTCACCATCTCCATCATCATCATTATCATCATCATCATCATCATCATCATCATCATCATCATGCATCATCATGTACACGATTCCTTTGTCATGATATAATGTGTTCCCTGATATTTTGAAGCGCCTTGAGCATTTAATAAGAATGGAAAATGGCGATATTTACTTATCATCCTCATATTCATCACCACCATTATCATCATCATTATCATCATCATCATCCTCATCATCAGTGGTAGTACTTTTGAACCGATGTTATGAGTATACATACCACGACTGATCCGTCTGGACCTCCACTCTGTAAGGTAGACCCTAACCACTGACCTGAAGCATTCGTTGACTGGAAGTCCGGGTTGTTAGTGTCGAGGTATTCATTCCCTATAAAAATACAATGGCGTACAACATCATGTAGACAATGTATTTTATTTGTCTCAATATTGACAACGACAAGAATTGTGGTAGCATTTCGTTGCTTACACGAATAAATGCATGGCGAACATTTGCATAAAATATATCTCTGTCACTCAATATCATGCTGGGGGGGGGGGGGGGCACACACCATTTTCTCTAATACACAGTTCGCGTAATATTTATATTTTTTAAAGGGTCTTTATTTTACGTACCTGGCCGCCATCCTTCTCTTTTTCTCCTTTTTACTCTTACTTTATTATGCCATTTTATTGGAAGCACAAGCCCCTAGCATCTTCTTATTCACATTGCCTCTACGATATACGTAAATTGAAATTCTACCTGACTTGGAACATGCGGAAACTATTACATACGTGGGAATGGCAAAAATGAATATGGCCGCTGACCTGTCTACAGTGACCACTTTTGCCGTTTCTTACAACATACAAAATTGACTGTGTAAGGTCATATGTCAGTTAAATTATCTTATGATCATATTTGAAAAAATAACCAGAAATCCAGACTTAAGAACAAACATGCAATTTATAGTCGGCAACTATTACAATCAAGTGCTTTCTAAAAAGCGAATAATATTTGCAGAATACCCGGAAGCTCAGTCTGTCGACGCGATAATAACATTACAAGGAAACATACAAACGATATTAAAACCTATAGTTATAGAAGTGCGTGTAAGGTGAGCTATGCCTTACGGAGCCCCTAAGGTGACATGTCAAAAAAAAAAATTCAGAAGTCGTGCGCACGACTTAGATAACTCGTGCCCACGACTTACTAACTCGTGCCCACGACTTACTAACTCGTGCCCACGACTTACTAACTCGTGCCCACGACTAACTAACTCGTGCCCACGACTTACTAACTCGTTACCACGACTTATATGTGACATGTCAATTTTTTTTCTTCATAAGTCGTGCGCACGACTTAGCTAACTCGTGCGCACGACTTAGCTATCTCGTGCGCACGACTTAGCTAACTCGTGCGCACGACTTAGCTAACTCGTGCCCACGACTTAGCTAACTCGTGCGCACGACTTAGCTAATTCGTATGACGCGCCATTTGACCAATAACCCAGATAAACACTGTTTATCGCCGAAAAACAGTTTATCGCTCGCCATTTGCTAAATAGTTCAGATAATCAACGATAAACAGTGTTTTTCGCTCGATAAACATTGTTTTTCGGCGATAAACAAGGTTTATCGAAAACACAGTTATTCGTATTTCGTCAGGAGTGGGCGCTTTTTAAAGTTGCACCCAGCTCAGAGCACTGCTCCGCACGTGCGCCTTACACCGTAGAATATACCAACACCGTAACACTTGCTCGCGCTCATGACCACGATCGACATTTTCTGAGTGGAGGTATGGCGAAGTATTCTTAATTCCAGGTAAGATAAATGAGAGATAGAGGAGAGATAGAGCGGGGATAGATGGATGGAGATCTATCTCTCCTCTATCTCTCCTCTATCTCTCATTTATCTCTCCTCTCTCTCCATCCATCTATCTCTACCCTATTTCTCATACCGGGGGAAATAGAGTGTCGTGGTCGAGTGGTTTAAGGCGCTTGGCTGTAGATGCGAAGGTCGAGGGTTCGAATCCCGACACGGCACTAATATCCTTTGGCAAGATATTTACCTGCACTTGCTACTCTCCACCCAGGTGTTAAATGGGTACCCGGTAGAATGCGAACGTTCATGTGGTTGAACGAGCAAGTGTGCGCCTGTAAAATGGCGACTGGCTGGAATGCTCCCCAGGGAGTGGAAAATGTGCACACATTGTGTGCGGGTAAGCCTGAATCCGATGACCGGGGTAATAATATATCTGTAAAGCGCTTAGGTACATCGTTGGATCGGTGTATTGAGCGCTATATAAAAAACCGGATTATTAACAAAGGAGAGGAGGCAGCGAGGGAGTGCAGAGAAAGAAAAGAACTTGAAAGAGAGAGAAAGAAAAAGGAAAGAGAAAGGGAAAGAGAGAATTAGAAGAAAGATAGAGAGGGAGAGACAGAAGGGTTATATTGAGAGGGTAGGAGAAAGAGAGAGTGAGAGAAAGAAAGGGGGAGAGTGAGGGAGAGATAGAGAGTGAGAGAGATAAGAGAAGGGGAAAACCTAGAAAGTTTGAAAGAGAGAGAGAGAGTTTGAGAGAGATATATAAACATAAAATTCCAAAAATTGGGAAAAAATCCAGGAATTAAGAACACTTCGCCATACCTCCACTCAGAAAATGTCGATCGTGATCATGAGCGCGAGCAAGTGTTACGGTGTTGGTATATTCTACGGTGTAAGGCGCACGTGCGGAGCAGTGCTCTGAGCTGGGTGCAACTTTAAAAAGCGCCCACTCCTGACGAAATACGAATAACTGTGTTTTCGATAAACCTTGTTTATCGCCGAAAAACAATGTTTGTCGAGCGAAAAACACTGTTTATCGTTGATTATCTGAACTATTTAGCAAATGGCCAGCGATAAACTGTTTTTCGGCGATAAACAGTGTTTATCTGGGTTATTGGTCAAATGGCGCGCCATACGAATTAGCTAAGTCGTGCGCACGAGTTAGCTAAGTCGTGGGCACGAGTTAGCTAAGTCGTGGGCACGAGTTAGCTAAGTCGTGCGCACGAGATAGCTAAGTCGTGCGCACGAGTTAGGCAAGTCGTGCGCACGACTTATGAAGAAAAAAAAGTTGACATGTCACCTATAAGTCGTGGTAACGAGTTAGTAAGTCGTGGGCACGAGTTAGTAAGTCGTGGGCACGAGTTAGTAAGTCGTGGGCACGAGTTAGTAAGTCGTGGGCACGAGTTAGTAAGTCGTGGGCACGAGTTAGCTAAGTCGTGCGCACGACTTCTGATTTTTTTTTTTTGACATGTCACCTTAGGGGCTCCGTAATGCCTACACATTGATCACAAATATTATTGAAATCTGGTATTGCTTTAAGTAAAGCCAATGTCAAAACTAATGATATAAAAACGATTATAGTCAACCATAAGGAGTTTTTAGGCGAAAGCAAAACTCGTTTGTACGCTTTCAATTGTCATTTATCATATTAAACCACACTGTAATTAGTAAAGGTATCGATGATACTCTTCGTATCTAATTTCTGTATACACGAGAGCTTTGCAACTCTCCAGACAGGTTTGCTAGATACATATCATGTTCAATGAAAAGTTTGTAACTCCATCAAATTATTTTGTCTTGTCTATAATTATACAGCTTGCAACCAAATAAATATCTTTAGATTCTACTTCAAATAAGAAAAATCATTTTCTCGATGAAATTTCACGGGTTGACTATTCTTGTACGTGATTCGCATTAAACTATGAAGATTTATCAATAGGCTATGATTCAATATTTAATTACTTGCAACTCGAGTTTGTCTGTTATGCCAAATAAATAAGGAATGTTGTATAACTTCTAATTATAATCCATTAACAGCATGCGAGTTTATTTCCTTGTTGAAATAGACGTTACAAAAGAGAAAATTTAAAAGTACAAACAAACAGAAATAATTGATCAAATAGGCATATTTTCTATTTGTATATGACTTGACTCTTTACTTCTCCTAGGACACCTACTCCCTAGGACAACTACCCCCTCGGGCAATCACCCTCTAGGACCACTTCCCCCAGGACAACTACCCCCTAGGACAACTCCCCGAAAAAGGCCTAGTCGGGGACACCTAATGATCCGTAAATCTCTCACAAGCAATCAGAACTGGGAGGAGGGATGGGAGGTGGGGGAGGAGGGAGGGGATGTGGGGGAGGGGGAGGGGATGTGGGGGAGGGGAAGGGGAGGAGGGGGAGGGGGCAAGAGAGCGCTTACACAAATTTGAGCACATTTTCTATTTGTGTATTTAAGGCATGCCAAGTTGAATTTTGCTTTGGGGTAGGGGTGGGGTGGGAGAGTATGGCCATGTGCCCCTCGTGGTTCCCCCAAGATTCGTCAATGCTGGGCCAACAAGCGACGTTCCTCGCCGACTTTAGCCCTATCACCAAATTCGACGAGGGACCGTAATATACTGCCGCCAAACAGACACGAAAGGAAACGCAACTCACCTGTTGTATCCACAACTATCTCCTGGCAATCGGCCCGTGTCCCGATCGATGTATCTATGGGGCACTTGTAGAGGGCCCCGCTCCTTACTATCGACTGGTCCGCGGAATACCCCGATGACATGGCCCGAGGTGCCCCTACCAGTAACCTATGGATAGAAGAAGATGGTAGAATGGTAGAATAGTAGGAGAGAGAGAGAGAGAGAGAGTAGGGGAGAGACAGAGAAGAAAGAGGGGAGAGAGAGAGAGAGAGAGAGAGAGAGAGAGAGAGAGAGAGGGGGGGGGGGGGGGAAGAGAGAGAGAGAGACCCGAGTTATAACAGCATTATTTATATCCTTAACATCATCCTTTATATGATGTGCAGTTTATTTTCATTGCCCTTTTAACACCATCACATTCCCTTTACTTCATTGTACTCCACTCATCCTTGTTGACCTCCATCTCTTTCGTTCAACAGCATGGCTATTTGTTTTTAAAGCCTCTCTGCACTAGTTTGGTCAGGAGGGATTAGACCTCCCTGCATGGTCACTGACAGGTGGTTACCTCATCAAATCAGCTCTCAATTAACACAAGAAAAAAGGGGACCATGGGGGACCAATGGTCACTGATTAGGCAATGTTTGCTATATAAAGGGTGCAAGTATAGCTATAAGTAATGCAGTGGCGCTTAAATGTATTGCTTGACATAAAATCACACAAATCAAAATATACAAAGAACTAAACAAATTGTACTTGCTACTGCAAAATCGATAACCTTTTCATAACCACACACAACTACATGTATATGTGACGAGGGATATTTTGTACAGAAACATGAAAAATAGATAAAGAGATGGTATTAAATTGAGCGTATACGGGGTAAATGTGATAAACAATAAGATAGCAAAGAAATTCCAACGTATGTTTGACATTTATTCCATAACCATTGAGGACAGATCATCCGAATTATTTTTGTGCTGGTTTTATGATCAGTCATGGAGGATTTCATGGAATACTTTAAAGGCCACATCACAATCGTTGTGAGAAATTCCACGAAACCGGGAAAACAATCACTCTAATCGGATGACAGGCTGGTATGATATAATGTTAATAGAATCAATTACGATCAATGACAGTCCCTTATTCAATCAAACGTAACGCATTTCCCTTTATACATTTCGAAAGGGAAGTTAAGGAAGCTAATATTCCATACTACTGTATCACATTTTATTCAATAACACCACATGCCTGTTTGTGATGGCAAATATTGTAGAGCGAAGGGGCGATTGGGCAGCTTGCCCCCCTCCCCGACAAATTTATAACCCGCAAATGAATATCACCTGATATTTTAGTGAGAAGGAGAGTTATTGTAAGGTAAATAGGCTTCAAACTTCTGTTATCACTACCTAAACAAATCATGGACATTTTCTTTTAAAAATCTTCTCTTGTGGTGGCCTCGCACAACGGTGGCTTAAAGAATAGATTATAATTATGAAGCCAAACCTTACACACGGGAATAATTGTCTAGGGGAGAGAGAGAGAGAGAGAGAGGGGGGCACTCTCTTTATTGAACCACGCATGAAACCACCAACAAATGAGAAATATTATGATATCGTCGTGGTATTTTGATGACTCTCATACGAAAGGTTCTTGGTTCGATCCCTGCTCTGTGCATACATCCTTGCAGGAAATGTTTGCCCACATTCAATCCCCTCTACCCAGCCGTAAACCATCCCTCGTAACGCCAGTCTGTCTGACGTGTGGATGTGCGTCAGTGACTGACGCATCATGCGCAGATGCGAGAGGACGAACGACGTAAACGTTGTAAACGTTGCGTCGAATTAATGGCGCATGGTTCAACGGTATCGTTTTCATAGGCTTTATCGTGTGCGACGGACATAGGACTAGATTTAGGTATACGCTTAATTGAATACGTCTCGTATGCCAATCATTGCTGCAGTTACCCCCTCCCCCTCCCCCATCCAACATAAAATAGAACAAACACGTTATCGATTTGTAATAATCTAACAAGAAAGCCGGAACTAGGGGTAAAGTTTGGGATTTAGTCACCGTTTCTAAATGAGAAAAACAAATTAATACAGAATATATTTTATAAGGCAATTATTCTTTATTCCTATGAATTAAATAGGGTGTTTGATAAAAACTCATCATTTCCTTTTTGTTTCCCCGAAATATAAAGCAGGCATAACTGTCAAATCATAGTTTGCACCAATCCACTGCTGCACTTTATCATCGACTCAATGTCATTGTCTCGTATTGGATCTGAAAGACAATTGACAGGCTGGAGTACCACGTGACTTATGCTCGACTGCCGCCGGGCTCTTTCTATAACACTTTCCTATGTAGTCCATCTACTTACCAAATCATTTCTTTTCCCAATTAATGCATTACCTCAAATGCTAAAGTATTGGAATATTTAATGTTTAGTTATGACCACAGGGCCAGAACATAACTGTTGAAGACAAACATTACCTCGTCTGGTATCATGAAATGTTCACACATCAAATCCAAGGTTTTAGTCAATTTGCAATATTATCATATAAATATATAAGAATTAATAGGATTAGCTGCTTTTTTTATTCATTTCATTTTGCTCGTCCGCTTTGCCCGTTCGCAAACGACTATAAATTCGTTAAAACCGCCACTCTTATCAAGACGGGTTCGTAAGCAGACCAAACATCGCTCTACCCCCCCCCCCTTCCCGCCCACGCATCATTAGGAATTGTTCTTGCTGAAATACATGGATCAGCTGCAGTGGCTGGGGTGCTTTGCCCCCCCCCCCCCCTCCTAGCTCTCCCGACGCCAAGGTCCAAATACGCTACTGTTGAACATCATCATAGGTTTCCGAATACTTGAGGAGTACTTTCAATGCAATTCCAGGTATTGAGACGAATCGTTGAAACAAAAGGAATAAACAACATTTCACTTTCATTTGAATAATCCTTGAACGAAAACACGTTTATCATTAATGGTAGATAAACTACCGTTTCAACAAGGAAATGTTTTTATGCAAAATTATGTTTTCACACCGTAAGTTTGTTATCTTGGAATTATTAAGACTGTGATATTTCACTTTCATTTGAATAATGTTTGACAAAAACATTTATGAGATAGGTCAGATAAATTCTCGATTCAACAAGGAAAAGTCTTTATACATGATTATGTTTAACAGTTTCCACACCGTAAGTTTGTTATCTTGGAATTATTAAGACCGGGATGTTTCACTTTCGTTTGAATAATGCTTGACAAAAACATTTACGAGATATGTCAGATAAATTATCGATTCAACAAGGAAATGTTTTTAAAAATGATTATGATTAATAGTTTCAACACCGTAAGTTCGTTATCTTGGAACTACTAAGGCAAAAGAGAGTCTAGAGCAAGCTCGAATTATAGTCATATAGGCGAGTACGCCATGGATATGTGTGTGGAACAGGCACGTAGCCAGAGTTTGATGTTTGGGGGGCACATACATGTAATCGGTCGAGGTAAAAAAAAAAAGAGGTCTGAAAAAGTGCAACCGATCCTGGAAATGTAGGGGGTCACGTGCCCCCCCCCCCCCGTGCCCCCCCCCCCCCCCGTGGCTACGTGCCTGGTGTGGAGGGGAAAGGAGAAGAAGAGTGAGAAATAAAGTGAAAGTTTACAGATAATTCCTAAAGGCCTCATAGAATGAAACAAAAAAATGAGGAAGAAGATAATGTTCATGCTTTAAATCTGAAAGTTTTTATTAGGTCGACGTCGACATACATTACGCAAGCCTTCGTCAGGTGATTAGGGACTTTGGAATTTGCACGTCGACATAGTGGACTGCTACGTGTGACGTCCTTTTAAGGAACTTTGATGTCCTTTTAAGGCACTGCCAGTGCCTTAAAGGACGTCACACGTAGCAGTCCACCATGTCGACGTGCAAATCTAAAAGTCCCTAATGTTAGATTTAGAACAAAACTTCTTTTCTGCATTTTGATAACGTAATAAGTATTGAGTTCCGCTCTGAGATCCAGAAAATACTTAAAAACACAAGAAATAATGCTGCTCCGTACAAGAAAAAAAAAAATATTTATATATACATATACATGTATATATGTACATAGTTCATGTATTGGCTTACAGCTGTATGAGTTTAACAAAACAAATCAAGTAAAAACTTCTGGTATAATGCAGTTTATCCAATTCGTGTGTAATATCAATCGCAACCGGAATTGTCCAAGTATCAACGTTTGCTCTCGATTTTGATTTCGAGGTGTAACATTAAACCAGGATTGGTTGAAATACATCGATAATGCCTCATATTGGAAGCGGAATTCACATATATTTGTTTCAACTTGCAAACTTCCTTCTGAAGATTATCTGTCACGTTGTGATGGCCAAAATTCTAGTATGGATCCTGAAAAAGTGACATTAAACCAGACGTGCTGGTAGCAGGGGTACGATTGAATTTCAAAACCGTTTGGAAATTCGTAACCAGTACAGCGAAGTGTTTCTTGGTAGGTCATAGTAAATCAAGCCAAACCCATGCATGAACCTATTCACACTGATATTCAACTTTCGAATTTGATACGTGAATATTTGACATTTAATATTTTTATATCAATTTTGATACTTAATATTTTTGAATTCGATACAAGAGATCTGATATTTGATATTTTGGAATTATATTCTTCCGTAATACTTCATTTTCTCTTTTTTTAACTGCTCATCACTATACACAAATTTCCACATGACCTCTCGTCATACATGTAGTTCCCCCTCGTATTTACCTTCATTTAATTTGTGTGTATATACCACAACACCTCCACTCGTTACTGGTGGCCAATTCTAATTATTTTGTTTAACCTTGTGGAAATATAACAACGATTTGGGACCTTTTTCAGCATGGTCGACTTTATGTTTAGAAACATTCCAGGTAAATTTTAAAACCTGACTATAAGTATTGTTTTCTTGAGGGCAAATATGGACATTGTTAACAGGGCTAGTTAAGATTTGTTATTATTGACAAGTTTAGTCCCATATGCCCATCTCTTGCAACATTTAGCCACCACCCTTTACCATCGAGATAGTAATCGTAACTACATATCTCTCTATCTTGCAGATACCCTGAAAAGGGATCGACAACCCAAAGGTCTCCAATATGGCATTAGAACCAAATACCATATTACCTTCTTACCCATTGCCCCGGTGAAATGTACAATTATGATAATATAACATTATGATAATATAACATTATGGAAATATAACATTGTGGTAATATAACATTATGGAAATATAACATTATGATAATATAACATTATGGAAATATAACATTGTGGTAATATTACATTACGTTAGTATAACATTATGATAGTATATCAATATGATAATATATCATTATGATAATATATCATGACAATATATCATTATGATAATTACATCATTATGATAATATAACATTATGATATTATAACATTATGATTATATAGTATTATGGAAATATATCATTATGATAGTATATCAATATAAAAATATATCATCATGATAATATATCATCATGATAATATATCATTATGATAATATAACATTATGATAATATATCAATATGGTATATATAACATTATATTATAACATCACGATAATATATCATTACAATAATATAACATGATTGCGTATAGACATGCCATTTGCCGCTCCGTTATTGCAACTTCGTTACGATAAAAAGCCATCATGATAAAAACCTTTGGGGTTGGGGGACAATATATCCCTAAAATACTTTGTGTAGATCTATTTTGACTTTGTGACTTGTACTCTGATTTCCTCAATATAGACAATAGGAAGTTATACGTATATGGTATCTACATGCCCTTGACATCGCAGCTTGAACGGATCATATCACTAAAATATTTTGAGTAGAGATTTGTGACCTAACCGGTACTGTGATTTACACAGTACAGACTAGTAGAGGAAGTTATACGTACATGATATCTAATACGCTCTTGACGTAACAGCTCTGAACAAACATGTATCACTTACACTTTCCAACTTTCCCACCTTTTTTTATATAAATAACCTACATAGTTTTCGTTATTCGGGTTCTCTCTTCTGTCTTTTTCTTTCAAAGAATTGGTGGAATATTACTCTAATAATTCCGCCATTTTATCCTCAATCTGCCTCCTGTTTATTTACTTTACTTGCTTCCTGTACAACGACGTTGTCCACATAATGAGAATGTTGTCCATAAAATTAATTACATATCCAGGGCAGCATCTCACGAAACTGTCATAAGTACAAGATCGTTAACAACCCATTGTAATAAGAGTATTAAATTGTTATTAAAGTTTCAATTGGATGTCGGTAAAGATGTAACTATAACGGTTTCATGAAACGATGGAAACAATATCCCGGCTATGACAGGGGTCACAATGTTGTTGTTTTTTGTAGTAGTTTTATGGCGTTCATTCAGAATTGAATATATATAGGCCATATCTTCAGGTATATATATATGAAACATCAGTTATCCATAAATGGGTCATAATTTTGGAGCGCTATAGGAGCGTCACGGCTTGACGCACATGAGACAGACACTGTCGATCTCGTTGACAGTCCGTCTCGTAGGTTGTGGCCGCGTTTTAAAATCATTGTAAACATATAATGTGGATTTTATTCTAGCTTAAGTTATCAAATCCTATCTGTTCAGAAAGTAAATCTTGAACAAATTTTATATCATATAAATATGAGGGGGGAGGGGTGGGGATTTAACGATGTGGGCTTTTGTAGACTGAAGTACCATTTCCGGGAGGCGCGGTGGCTCAATGGTAGATCAGTGGTCTCGTAACCGGGATATCCCGGTTTTCGAAATTAAGTCGATGCGCTATAGTACCCTTTGGTAAGGCATTAATCCTTATTACCAAGTCCCTCGGAAACGCTGAAAGGCGACGTTCCTATATTTGTTTACTAACAATATGGACCTACTACAGTAGTAGGTCCATGCTTACAGGCATACGCATGCTTTCTTAGCAATCAGGTAAAACAAACAAAGAAAACAAATTCCTGAATGCTATCTGACCTTTGCCTCTAAAGTGTTCAATCGTGCGTTTCGATTGCAGTCGTGCATGATGATTTATTATAATAAAACGTTTACCGAATTAGTCAGGCAAACATCCTATATTTACCGATGTACTGAAACAAGATAATTCCACAGTAATATGCATGCAAATAATGAAATAGATGCATTTACCGAGTAATTTCATGCATGCATCTAGTTCTTATGCATACACGATTGCCTCAAATAAGTCAATATAAGTCACCCCAAACATTAAAAAAAGAGCCAAAACAAAACAACATGTTTAAAGGTTTGCATTTAGTTCCAGTATATAGTATTTCAGTCGCAACAAGACCAAATCTATTACCACTTACCAAACATTACAGCAATTTCACAACACATCATTTATCTTCCATACATTAATTTTATGGATACCTTAAGCAGAATGTGGATTGATGGGCCTGAATGATATATGAATTCAAACCTTTGGTTGTATATAATAAATGTCATTATAATCGGTAAATCAAATTGAAATTGAAGGCCTAGTGAAACTGTTATTTTCAAACAGAGCTTGTGTCAATCGTAATCCTTCAACAACATTGGTAAATTGCCAAATGATATTTACTTGATTTTGAGGTTAAAAAAGAAAGAAAAGAAAGAAAAGAAGCGGGAACGGAATAAAAGGGGGAAACTAAAATGACATACTAACAACAAAAAAATGACACAAGTTATATATACATGGAGACAGTGAAGTTTTGAAAAAAGAGATGAATACAATAACTTCAATAATACACATTTTATATTTTAAATATACATGACATAACGTGGATACTACTTGGTGAAGGGAGGTACATTTTGGTTTCGTGGTTCATTCACTCACTCGACTCTCAATCCTAGAGTTCAGGGTTCGAATCCCAGCCCGGCACTAACGTCCTTTAGTAAGACCTAAATCCACATTTGTCACTCAGGCTCCATCTAGGAGTAACTATAACTATAGTAACTATAAATTGATGGGTAATAATAGTTACAGGGCCCGCAGAAAGAGCAGTATTAATACTGATGTGGCTATGCTGGGTAAATAAATATGATCTATTTACAAAATGGACCATGTAGAGTTACACCCTTTTGATTTTGTAAACAGATGATGTATATATATATATATATATATATATATATATATATATATATTTTGTTTGAATGTGTTTCTGTCTTGATTTCTTGTATTGCTTGTTATTTCTGGTTGGAAACAAATTTCCACATATGTGGACAAGAATAAACAATTATTAATAATAATAATAATAAAATTAAAAACTTGTATTACTCACATATTCTCTTCTCCCTCACTATGAAGTGCTAGTGAGAGTCCAAACTGGCTATCCGTGTCATCGTGGGTGAAGTACAACGGGAACGATGTATCGACGTTGAAGCCATGGACGACTAGGGCCCATCTCGAACAAATGGTGATACACAATGCAATGGAGAAGATGTATCCAGTGGTCATTGAGAGCGATGTCGGGCCGGACATCGTGAAAACTGTAAAGTGACGGGGTTGCGATAAGTAGCTTATATGACAATGGGATTCATGTACGCCTGGCCAAATTCAGATAAGGTTTAGAAGGCAGCGAACACCCACTGGAAAATCATTCAGACCGTTTTTCTGATAGGCACCGATTACAGAATTTTGATAACTTCCTCATCGGCTCCTCGACTTGTTCCGGGGTTCTGTTGAATCCTTGGTTGAATAGTTTCATATGAAAGTACTTGACACTGAATCGGCTAAGTGAACGGTCAATAAACAATTCGTGACAGCACCCTTAATAGCTGAGTGACAGTGTGAGTGTGAGGCGGATGCAAATGAATGCTCAGTGTTAGTGATGCGCGCGCTCGTCCGCGCGGTCCGAAGTTGCAGCATTATCTTTGTTTGTTTTTAATAATATTTAAACCCGAAGCTGGGCTTAAGCTTTTCTTCAAAATCGAGTTAAACAAAGAAGTTAAGAATTTAAGCTGAGCCACCCGGTCCCCGTTGACAATTGGTTAACTGTTTCAATAACCCATTAAAACGTGCGAAGATGACAACTACACATTCATTATGAAAATGATTTCTATGGCATAGCCCTATACAACAGGGTATTGAAATTCCCCTTAAGTTTATATACCAATTTTGAAATTCTTTGCGATCTTGCTGTTGTTGTTGTTGTTGTTGTTGTTGATCTTGTTACCGTGGGTTTTTGCTCTTTAATACACATTATTGTGTGTCCGCAGACGAAAATACTTCACATTTTGTAAGATCCAATTTCGCAAAATGTGATACCCTGGCTAGGTCGGTCCGTACTGTAGTCCATACAACAGGGCGGTCATATAACGCCACTTACACCAGTTATGCGGGTGTGCCAAGTATCTATCTATAGAGGAATTATGCACGTACCAAGAGTTGATGGTTGTATAAACATATCTTTCCGCTTTAAGAATCGACGCATCTTTTGAATTCATTTAATGTGTCAGTGTATACGTGTGTGTAGGGTGGGTGTAGCACTTGGAAATCAATGAAAAACATTATGTAAAGCCCCCCCCCCCCTCCCTCCAATTTTTGTCACTTCCGTTTTTCTTTTTCATAATCATTTTGCTACTGAATGTTCATATCCCCCTCTAGCATTTCATTTGGTTTTGTTCAGTCATTTTCTCCCCTCAACGTTCCTTTGCGGTGCAGTTACTATTAAAACAATGCCGTGATTCGAAACGTCTAGCCCCCCTTCGTAATAATAATTTTATTTACCCAGGGAAGTCTCATCAGCATCAAAGTTGTTCCTCCTGAGGGCCACGCAATTATCAGGTAACCGTTTACACCTGGGCGGGGAGTTGCCATTGTGAATTAATGTCCTGCCAAAGATCGTTAGTACCGGGCTGTGATTCGAACCCTCGACCCTTAGATTGAGTATCAAGTTATGAACCCCGATGCGACAACTCCACGTCCACCTTCATAGCTGTACTATACTAATGTATTTCAATGTATGCACTGCCCTTGGTAATCAACTCCTCGATTCACATCGTATGCAAAATGCATCCCTATCGTTTCAGTCGTCAAGGGAACCTCTCGATAAAAAGATATGCATAAAATTAGTAAACAGCCTTACATGTCTATTGCCATGTCCATGACATTGGATTGGAGTGCATACTTGAATTGTACAAACAATGTTGACTTCCGACAAGTATGTCTATTTAATTAATTATACCTTTTCACAGTTCCGCCCTGGCAATGTGCCCTATTTATACGTGATGTAATTTCAATACATTGTCGATCTGCCCGTATATATTATGTTCGAATTACAAAAATATGTCACTGTATCATTCTCAGACATGTCAATAGACCGGTATACAGACATATTCAAATTTATAGATTTTTCTTTCCTGTGGACCTAGTGAAGATCTTAAACAATGAACCACAATAATAGGAATCCTATCTGCATACATTACTTGTTGTTATGTCGGGCACGCCTCGGGCAAGCTTTCAGGTTGTCAAGAACAACCCATGTTTAAAAATTATGCATATAATTTGAATATGTTCGTAAACCGGCCTATTGGTGAGGTAAAGGCATTTGTAATTCTATGCATCATTTTGGAAAGAAGGTTCTCCTCGTGACTGAAAGCTTGACAGATGCTTGCCCGTCATAGCAACAACCAATGAATGCAAATGAGTTCCATCCAAAAGAATGACATTTCGCATAGCAGGTGAATCAAATAGTTTGTATCCAAGGGTTTGGGATGAAAACATGCATAAATCGAACAATAAAACTAGGGCCAATATACATAGTTGGTTGACAAGTAAGCTCACTACTAAGAAAGTTTAGAACAAATTGATATGGGCCAAGGTCTATTGCCCTTTACAAAGTGTGATTTCTTGAAAGTACTTAAGATCACGTGCAATGTTGATAGATAGCCATATGACAGCATGATGCTGTCACAATCTAATGTTCCACCGTGCTACTAAATGCTTCATTTTCACACATAAAAAATGCCTTTTAGTTCTATATGATTTGTTTCTCTTTCGATCTGAAGGGGCAATCCCTTTTATGACAGACCTTTTACGAGGTTTTGGGCAACAAACCACAGTCCGCGCAATGCTGACAGTGATGGTCAAGGTTTTCTCTATTTGTGTAAATAATTTCTGTGCTTGTGGTGTGTGTGTGTGCGTGTGAGTGTGTTGGTGTGTTCCGTGTGTGAGATGCAGTGACTTTCATTTCCTGCATGTCATCTTTATAGTTATTTCAATTGTGCACTTCCGAACAGCCCATTTAACAGAGACAATACAAGCCAGTTTCTCTCTGAACTTTCTGTCAAAGGACAATGCAATTCTCGCTACCCCAAATAGCGATTCTGCCGAGATCCGGGGAAAATCCTGAAAACGCGCATTGCATTATGGGATAGCTTTTCGACATTACAGCTTCCTGTGCAGGCGTTCGTGATCACAACCCTCTCTTTCACGGTAGAGTTTAACGGCCTTTTGTGCTAAAGTCACTAATTCTGCCCGAAGCTTTCCATTGCATATTATAATCTGTACAAATTACACAGATTGGCATCGATTTTAGCGTGCGTGAAAACTCTGCACAGCGAACACGGCGCTAGCGCCAGCGGGATGGGACTCTATACCGGAAGTTGTAGTGACGACCCGAGAGAGTGAAAATTACCTCGTCTCGCGAATTTCGAGATTTTCGTACCTATTTAGGGTAGCGAGAATTACCTCCCTCAACCCCCTCCTACATACATTTCACAAAGAGGGTCGTATTTTATAATCCTGCTGGACAATTTACATCTTTTGTCAAAGCTGCTTCATCCATGCAGGGAGTTGTAATCTGCTTGTTCCATTTTAGGATTAAAACATACAAAACCAAGACCGGGTTTTTACATCTTATGCACGATTAAGCATAATAGAACAGTCGGTTGTTTTTGTGTTAGGGGTGGCGATATTTAAACGCATGTTATTTAAAAAAAGGATATTAAAGAAAACTATTACAACAACTACTACTACTACTACTACTACTACTACTACTACTACTACTACTACTACTACTACTTTTACTACTACTACTTCTACTACTGCTGCTGCTGCTGCTTCTGCTGCTGCTGGTGCTGCTGCTGCTGCTACTACAACTACTACTACTAAGAGTCTGATACTACTACTACTAGTAGTAGTAGTCATCTACTATTACTACTACTACTAGTAGTAGTCATCTACTATTACTACTACTACTACTACTACTACGATTACTACTTCTACTACTACTACTACCACCACTACTACTACTACTACTACTACTACTACTACTACTACTACTACTACTACTACTACTACTACTAATACTACTACTAATACTACTTCTACTTCTACTACTACAATTACTACTGATACTACTACTACTAATACTAATACTACTACTAATACTACTACTACTTCTACTACTACTACTACCACCACCACTACTACTACTACTACTACTACTACTACTACCACTACTACTACTACTACTACTACTAATACTAATACTACTACTAATACTACTGCTACTTCTACTACTACGATTACTACTGATACTACTACTACTTACTTGTATTTTCATCGTAATCATTGTTGTTATCATCATACCCAGTCATCATCATCATCGTAAGGCCTATTATCCTTATGATGTTTTCATTATCACAATCATCACCGTCAGTATCGAATAGACCTTAAACAATTTCATGTTTCATAGAGAGTAGAGAGGGTACCGAGTTTTATGAGACATCTATATGATAGTTTGAGAATAATCAGAGAAAAGGCGTGAATTCATGAAAGATTCTATTACTGAAAATGAATTGGCATTGCAGCTCTTAATAAGCTAAATCTCTAATTTGTTGGTATCCAAATTGCTCCAGGAACCCTTTTATAATTTCTTATGGTGAGACAGAGTAACGAACAGACCCCTTTTCGCAAATGATCACAAATAGTAGAGCTACATCATGTAGAGAAGGTCACTTTGAGGTCATGAACATATTTCCGGTAGTGTTGTCAATAAAATGTGCATTCACCGTAATGATCTGCAAACACTTTTGATTCCCCTTAACCACAATGGCCAAAATATTTAATTGAAATGACACCGTTAGCCCACACAATACAAATATAAAATTATGACTCACCAAAACCGCAAATGCATGCGTTACCATACATAATGTTAAATACCGTTCAGATTTTTTTAATTGTCATCACTGGAAATGTATTTTATTTGTATAAGCCTCTGCAACAGGAAAATGAAACACATTGCGGTGATATTCCTGAATATTTTATCACAACATGTACACATGATTTGGATTTTAAAACAGAAGAGGAAAAAAGGATAAAGATTTACAAAACATGTATAGAAACTGATCATGATTATGTTTTAAATTTATATTCTGGGTGTGATGAAATCATTTAAAGCTACATACTCTCATATCTCAATAAAATAGTAAACAATAACAACAACAACTACTACTACTACTACTACAACTACTACTACATCTACTACTATTACTACTACTACACTACTACTTAATAATAACAATTGAATAAAAATAATCACGATAGTGACAAAAACACCAACAATAACAGTAACAATAATATTAAATATAATACAAAACGATAGAGAAAGAAACAGAAAGAGAGAGAGAGAGAGAGAGAGAGAGGGAGAGAGAGAGAAAGAAAAGAAAGAAGGGGAGGGGCATTTATCAAGTTGATAACAAGTTTGTTTAGAATTTCCGTTTCATTTTCATTTAATTGATAACATTTAAGATTTTGTTCTGCTCCGTTATCTTCTTACTATTTAAATCTCCTTTCACAAATGTCTCATAATTTACTCTCGATATTCTCTGTCTCTGTCTATGTCTCTCTCTCTCTCTCTCTGTCACTGTCTCTCTCTCTCTCTCTCTCTTTCAATTTACCACGATCTTTTATCTCTCTGATGTCTAATTTCTCCTCGTTTCAATCTTTAAATATTGTGTTATTTGATTCATTTGATGATTCCTCCACTTCGCTTTCGTAAAGTTAAAAAGTACATGAAGTGTTCGTTCGGGTCAGCCTAAATCTATCGTGTGAGTGAAAGTAGGAAGTACATTGTGATTTTAACAAATTACTCCGGATCACTTGAGCAATATTTTGAAAATAGATCCAGCACTTATTGCCTCGATTGTCTGTCATTGAATGAAATAAGAGCACTGCAGGTGGAACAAAAATAATAAACCACGTTCGATTATAAACGAATTAAACACCTATATGCATATCGACGAATTTAAGTTCTTTAATTAGGCGGAACCCAAGAAAGATCTCGATATATGGAATGAAATGGCGTAGAACCCCCCCCCCCCCGAATGACGATAAAAGAAAACTAAAATGAGAAAAGGCAGAGGGGGAGGAAGGGGAGAGAGAGAGAGAGAGAGAGAGAGAGAGAGGAGGAGATAAAGAGAGAGGGAGAGACAGAGAGAGGGGAGAGGAAGAAGGGAGGGAGGGAGGAGAGAAAGAGAGAAAGATTAGAGCGGAAGGGAGAGTGAGGGGGTGAGTATGTCTGCGTGTTTGTGTGTGAAAAAGTGATATAGATAATTAGATAGATAGATAGAGAGATCTTATAAATCGTCCCGCCCCCTGTGACAGTGCCCCTTTACGACCGGGTCCACGCTACGCCACTGTGTGGGATGTCATATATTTGAGCCCCCGTCTGAAACGGACCATGAATGATAACTGAGTAATTACATTGATGACTGATTTATTAACTTAGAATTAATAGAGTTCGGTGATCCAATACCCGACGGGCCGCTGCTCATCTGAAAGGAGTCTTGCTTTTTTGACAGTAATGTATATTAAAATTTCCATCACCCTGATGATCACGATGATCATGATCATGATCATGATCATCATCATCATCATCGACGCCAATGCGAGATTATGAGTCCTTCATTGGACCAGGCTTGTGTACTGATCATCATCATCATCATCATCATCATCATAATCATCATCATCATCCTTATTATCATCATCCTCATCACCATTATCACCATCATCATCATCATCATCATCCTCATCCTCATCACCATCACCATCACCATCATCACCATCACCATCATCGTCATCATCATCATCATCATCATTATCATCACCAAGAAAAACATCTAACTGGAGTCGAGCTGTCATGTAAAAATCTCACGAATTATTTAGCACCATAAAATTGTTGTGCTAATTAAGTTAGCCACAATGCATGTATGCGTACATATTGAATTCACATTGATTTGACCAAATCGTAATCATTGCTTCCTCGTGCTAATACATATAATCAATATTCGCACATAACTAACCAACGAGAAGCAATCAAAGTGAAATTTCTTTTGTCATTGATATTTAGTTTCATACACGACTTAAATTTCCCTGAATGCACAATTATAATTCTTTAAGAATAATAGTTTCGAGGCACCGAGGAAATGAGGAAATTCGACACAAACTTTCACTCTCCGTACGTGTAATCTCGGGAATTCCAGTAAGCCTGAGTGTACTCTGTAATATGTATTTTCAACAAACAAAAATAACCACATATACTTTTCAACTAATCTTCTTTGTCATTTTTAGTTTGTTTTCGTCTAAACCACCAACTCCTTCACAATCTTTACAATTATCCGGACAAAGGATCGAATTCGGCGACTCAAAATTTCCGGCTTCATCAGTGTATTGAAAGCAAAAGAAAACTTATAAATAGTAGGCCTAGATTTGGTATCAATGTTTTGTTTCCTTGTTTATGAATTCGAACCTGTCCCTGAAATAATTCTGCACGACCACCATTACCAAGAATTATTTAGGATGCAACCTCAGTAGCCTTCCAAAATGAAAACAAACAAATACAAAATACACATCATTATGTTTTTAACAAAGCTTCAAATAGGAAGGACCAGTCACGGCTTTCCCGAATCAGAAGCGCACAGACAAACTGATAAAACAAGCACATAAACAATTGGAAATGAGGGCTAGATCAGTATGTAAAACTTTATTTTACCTTGAATATCAAAACTTAGCGATTACAATTCATTGTAAATACATTCATTGTCAGAAATCATCACATTTACAAACCCCTAGTACTCCAATATCAGTGAAATGATAATAATAACAATATTCCGTTCTTATGTTGGCCTTAAATGCAAGTAATATTCTACTGTATAATAGAATTCCTTGGGTAAATATCAGACATGTATAATCTATTGTATGCCGTATAATCCATTGCCCCGGGAACAGGGTGATTCCTGCATTTAGCCTATAACAATAAGATAACTCAGTTGTCAATGGATTATGTTTTGTTGGGATTGGCTGCCAATAAAATGTGTATTGTATTATGTCGATTACATATCAAGGGCATAGCGGGTTCTCAGTTGATAACAGCATTATTTTCAGCAAGATTTAGTTACGATTTTTTTTTTGGTGAAGATTCCAATCAATCGAACATGCAATAGTTCCTATGTGCTATACAAAAGAAATCTTTCGCAACTAAATATTTGGCAGATTCACTCACAATCTGACAATGCCATTACATGACCAGGGGATGTCTCACAAAGATGCTAAGTCGAACTTAACTCTAAGTTGGACTTAAATATTATAGAGAGCCATTTGTAGCCTTATAATAAAATGTATTCAAAAGCAAAAAAGTATTTTCCACTAATGATAAATTCTACATCAAGAACATGAATTCGCATTAGTAATAGAAAATACGAATGATTTGAATCAACATTTTATGCCTTTTAAAATAACTTTTACACAATTTTTGAAAAGATGTTAACGGTTTTCCACAATCGTCCAACTTAGAGATAAGTTCAACTTAGGATATTTGTGAAACACTCCCCAGCACTCTAGCTCTATCTCAAATGCACTATTTTTGTTTTATCGGACTACGGGTCATTGACCTGTAATAGATAGAGGAGGGATTGTTCGGTATTTCCTCTCCATGATCAGGAAAGCACCCTCCAGGGGTCTTTATTGTCATTTTCTACTTTCAGGTCGATTGTGAACAAAAACTTTGTATTTGTATCAAAAGAACGAAATCCCAGCGAGACACTGCCTGTTTATTATTGCATAACTCTAAACGACCAACAAAATGTCAATCGAATAAGTTTCCAACACCATTCTGCTTTATGAGTCTATTTTCTTCGTTTTGTGAATTTAAAGGCCTTTTTTGAGGGGGGATAAAAATTCATCGTCAAAATACCTCACCCCGATATAAAACAAAAATCCCAACAAAACATCATCTCTGTTAGAATGAAGTTTACACTGCTAAGGTCCTCAATCTCTTTCACATTCTGCATTATGTGGCCCAAACACGTACCCACAGTGCACAAGTAATGACATCATCGCCCGGATCGTGCATAATTATGTATCGTAACAAAATATAGATATAGATATTTCATAACAAAATTAGTTTCAAGTCCTGCTGGAAATCCCATTCAAATTTCTTTTGATTCATGTTTTTATGCATGACGCGAGAGTACATATGCAATACAAAAAGAGATTGATTTCTAGGATATCATGGCATATCATAATTATGACAATAGAAGTTAAACTAACAATATTAAATGACACTATTAACGATTATAAAAATGTATGTACGGTTTAGCGCTTCGCAATACTTATTACATATCTATACACCATGAATATTTACAACGCACTAAAAGAAAGTACAACTTTTAAGTTGAAGACTAACCTTCAACAAGAAACCATTCATATCCAAGTACAACACTTAGGAATAAGATTTTGGTTTGGTTTGGTGTTCATTTACGATCATAAAATATGAAATATAAACATCATAACATATATAAAGAATGAAAAAACTACAGTATATTACAAGGACTAATCTAGAAAAATAGAATATTAAAATCAAAATCGAGGGACCGCCCTTAATTCAAAATATTCTCTCAGATCTAATAAAGTTCAGGACATTTTTTATGTGTCTTCATACTTTTATAAAGGCATGAAAGGAACGAGTTTAATACTAATGACGTTGTTACGTGATTACAAACATGTATATATTAGGGGGGAAAATGTTATCGTCGCAAGCAGATTGCACATATCAATATTTAAAGCTACTATACAACACACGTTAATCATGCTTATGACGTAACAGTACAGGGAGACCCCCTAATAACGAAAATTTGCATAATATACAGAAATATCTCCTATTGGTGATAATTATTACAAACTCAATGAAACTTAAAAAAAAAAAAAATTGTATACCTTGTCTTATTTTGTAATAATTCCGTGCAAGAGAAACGCTGACAGTGTAATAATGTATTTTTCTCTTTTCTGTTCTCCATTGTATCAAAAAATGTTTTTAACTGCGAAGTGGGCCCATTAATTTGTTAGTTTGTGCTGATCATAAGAAGGATATTAACAGACACCTAAAACGCACTATATGAAAGAGAGAAAAAAAAGAACGAGATTTATTTTAACACTTTTGCAGCAACAACAAAGACAAATAATGGGAAGTTTATTAAATTTATAAACAAATCTTAGGGAATATGTAGTAGACCTTTAGTGGGAGAAATCTAGGTGACCGTGTTTTTTAGACTAAAGATTTACCAGAGCAAAATGTTAAGTATTCTTGATCTTATCATTGCAGATCTTCGGGTTCGTGGGTTTTCGGTCTCAACACCTTCGGATCGGGGGTATTCGGTATCAAGAAGAATTTCGGCTTGGATGAATATTAGGTCTCGCAAACATTCGGCTTGTGGGTCTTCAGTCTCGTAAAATTTCAGCTCGTGGGTTTTCAGTGTCGGGAACCTTCGGCTTGTGGGTTTTCAAAGTCGGGAACCTTTGGCTTGTGGGTTTTCAGTGTCGGGAACCTTCGGCTTGTGGGTTTTCAGTGTCGGGAACCTTCGGCTTGTGGGTTTTCAGTGTCGGGAACCTTCGGCTTGTGGGTTTTCAGTGTCGTGAACCTTCGACTCGTGATTCTTCGGTCTCCTGAACGGGTGGACGTTCGGCATATGGGCTTTCAGTCTCGTGAAACCTTCGGCACGTAGATCTTCAGTCTTGAGAATCTTCTGTTAGTAGGTCTTTAGGTATCATGTATCTACGGCTTAGGGGCAGTTGGTCTTGTGAACCCTACCAATTGCGTCATCATTTTGGCTCGTGACTCTCCGTTTTCGTAAACTTTCGGCTCGTGCATCTTCGGTCCTGCGAATCTTCTCTACAGTAATTCAGGAGATCCATTAGACAAAAAATCGCGGAAAACCGACTCATTGAACTCTTGGAGAGGTGGCCTCACGAAACTTTGCAAAGTGACAAGTCAACCTGGAAAACCGGAAAGTTTTTTCTTTCTACCTCAGTCACAACGAAGAGACTGACACCAATCAGACAATAGACCAAACAAACACAAATTGGCTCGAAGGTCCAACAAAATATTCGGTGTGACTGGGAATATAGATTTAATGTGTGTGACATGTGACCAGACCTAATGTAAATGGGTGGAAGAGTCCAGTGGAGATGTTGGAAGACAGTTTGTGTTATCTTTACGCGAGTACTTTTATATTATTCTTCAGTTTTGTCAACTCCTTCGAGTCCTTCGTTTTCGACGCCATTACTGCCCTCTAGCATCTTCCGTTGGTCGGCTGTGAGCTTCTTTTTCCTCTTGAAGAATCCAACCTGAGAAGCAAAGAAAGTACAGAATTGGAAATGTATGTGATTGTTTAAATCTCCTGTCTTTCTTTCTTTTCTTCCTATTTTTCTTCATTTTCTTTTTCTTCTTCCTCTTCTTGTTATTTTTTACCGTTACCTTCATCTTTGAAGTCACCACTTTCATCACCATCATTACCACCACTACCATCACCATCATTGGGCCTAAAAACAAAGATGTTGTTTTGCCCTTTAGGTGCCAAAAAAAGGGTCGGTCGCAAATCGTTTGTTTCCCTTCTTTTTTCTTTCTCTTTGGGCTGATATTTCTCAGTTTTTAATGCTTTGATAAATATTTTTGTATTCATTACACTTTTTTTCTTCTAAAAAACGGTAAAGAAACGGTTAAAACAAAATTAAAAGTCGTCCGTAGATATCATATTTTTAGGGTCGTTCGCAAAGGGCAATACAACATCTTTATTTTTACGCCTTATCATCGTCATTCTACTAGTTCTTATACAGATCTCCTTCGCCATCATCTTCTTCCCCCTTTTCATCTTCTTCCTCATTTTCTTCATCTTTTCTTCTCTGAGGCATTTCCGTTGTTTGTCGAATCAAATATACAGTTAAAAAACGGTACCCCAAAGGGGGTGAATACGTTTCATCGACTGTTTTTCTTACCCTCCATAAGACTATGATGAGTAGTACAAGGATGAGGCAACCGCAAAGTATCGAGACAAGATAAACCCAGAGTGCCACTTTCTCAGGCTCGACTGCTTCTATTAGAAACTGCGGTACGATTTTCGTTGAAACCTGAGGAAAAAGAATAAATTCAATCATAATATTTCGATGATGTTATACGAGATATAAATCGTTCAACAAGGAAGGAATAATATATGAATATGATTAACTTCATGTAGATGCATATCTAGAGGGATACGTACAGTACGTGCCCCTGTCATTACACAGTCTTTAAAATTAAAAAAAGGCTAGAAGCGCGCGCGTGGGAGATAGAGAGAGAGAGAGAGAGAGGGGGAAGAGAGAGAGAGAGAGAGAGAGAGAGAGAGAGAGAAAAGGAGAAAAGGAGGTGGTGGGTATAGATATATACATGTACATAGATAGAAAGGGAAATCAGCAGGGATGCACTGAACAAAATATAGATGGTACGAGTTTTCCCACACCCTTCCCTCACTCAATGGCTATACGTTGAATGTTCTGTTATATAATATCAATCTAGAAGGAAAAAAACCAGTGCCGCAGCCCCCAACATGTCCAATGGCACAAGTGCTCCCCCATGGCGGTATCCACCCTCACCATCTTTATCAATTCAGTTCTTTCAATAATATATTGAAACGATGTTTTTTAATGAACTTGAGCGGGTAAAAACATTAAGTTTGTTTTATCAGCAGATAATTTGACACATGTACAAATATTGTTGTAAAAACCATGTTTTCTTTTACCTCTTTGTCATATTTGTTTGGAATAATTGAGTATTTTTTTCGAGCTTGATTCAATAAATAAAGTCTTTCATCAATTTGTTTTGCGGCCAAGTACATATGTTTTAGTATTAATATCCATAATCAGTATTTATAATATTGTGTCTTGAGCAATGAAAGTCTGTCGTTTCAAAGTGATTTTCATACATTTTTCGTCAATAGGTTTGAATTTTGCTTAATTCAAACTAAGACATTTACATTCACCCCAAACAATCTCTTGAAATGCAGTCCATCGAGATAACATCAGTTTAAATCACTTAAAGCCCCACTGCACTACTTATACATGTAGCTACTTGCGCCCTCTATATAGCAAAAAATGCTTAAGCAGTGACCGTTGGTACCACATGATTCCCTTTTCCTATGTTAATTGAGAGCTGATTTGATGAGATAACCACCTGTCAGTGACCTTGCAGGGAGGTCTAATCCCTCCTGTACACCAGTACAGATGGGCTTTAATTCTCACCTCGTTCGATGATATTTCAATCGGATCAGTAAACGTCGTTGTATACGGTACCTCTAGTACTTGAGCATGAGCTTGGACAAAGACCGTCAACTCCAGAAGATTCTAGACAAGAATGACAACAATAATTATTTATTAGGCTATTATCAAAACTGCATAAAATATTGATTTGAAAAGTGTTATTAAAAAGCATGTATGAGAGTACACAAACTGCCGGATTTCAATTTAAAGACTCACTCTAGATATACGAAGTACTAATGTCCACTACATCATAGTTCAACTAGGACAACTACCCTTTCGACAATCACCCTCTAGGACAACTACCCTTGATGACAACAACCCGCTAGGACCGTACCTCGACAACTACCCCCGGGGCAAACGCCCTCTAGGACATGTACCTCCTTGACATCTACCACCTATAAACCAACTACTCCCGGACAATAACCACTTAGGGTAATTATCAATCGGGGTAGTTGTCCAAGAGGGTGATTGTCCTAGGGGATAGTTGCCTGGGGGGAGGGGTAACTGTCCGGGGTTAGTTGTCATAGAGGGTGGTTGTCCTAGGAGGTGGTTGTCCTAGGGGTAGTAAGATGGGGGGGGGGGGGTAATCATCCTAGAGGTTTATTGGCCCGGGGGTAGTCTTCCTAGGGGGTAGTTGCCCTAGAACCGTCTTTTCCTTATAGGGCGACTCTGCTGTATTAGGTAGAGTGTTGATATCATCCTTATCTGGAAAATAGTAGAATGGTGCCATATTACCCATAAAACCCCACGATGATGTGCTTACCACAGTCAATGTATTGGTCCACACCCGTGATCGCACCGTCACGATGACGTTATCCCTGGCCGCGTTGCTGCCTGCGCCCAGCGAGTCCACGACACACGTTATCATGTAGCAGAACTGACTCTGTGGTCCGCTGCATTTGATGTCCCGTACCTTCACGGGCGATTCGGTGGTCGACATCGGAATATCCGTGGTTCCGACCGCTGGAGAGTCGGTTGTGGCAGCTTGTCGGCGTCGACGTTTGCTTTCTGGTGTTCCCGTGCTATTGTCAACCGACTAAAAAGGGGATAGTATAGAAGTCGATATTATTTATTTATTTATTTATTTATTTATTTATCATAGTTTTATTTCAACAGGGTGGTCTCATTCAAGTCCATTTCTGGACCTGCTCTTCCATCAGTTTTATTAGTTTTAATATTTTTATAAGCGTCTTGCTTATTGATAGACCTAAAATTAAGCTATGCTCACAATATATAGCAGGTTCAATTGTTAAACAGACTTCGCAGTGTTTCGTTATAAAATATCTGTTTAGAATATAAATCTAATAAAAAGTGTTTTTAAGGCCTATACATGTCATAAATAGTGATAACAGAAATTAAAACTATTGCGATATATAATGCAACCTACAGTAGAATCTGATTTTCAACAAATAGCCATTGCTTCTTATTAATACAAGACTTTTTTTTAAGACGGTCGCGAAGACTTTCCAGAAATCAACTCAAATGCAAATTATCAATTAGGCTTTACCTACGGTAAGCAGGCTCGGATTACGTAATTGTCATTACCATGTTCTCACAACGAGAAAACGATGCACAATGCTATTGAAAAATGCCCACAATATTAAACAGGTTCTGTACGTTTACATATCGCAAAAATGCTCCTGGGCCCCGTTAAACAAAACTTGTCATCAGTGACAAATGACAGTTTTTGTCATAAGCTACTGAAATCCTTGCTTCTGATTGGTTATCAGCAGATTTGTCACTGATTTTTGTAATTAAAAAAAAAGCTTTGTGAAACGGGTCCCAGGACTAGAAGTCGATCTCAACTCTTAGAATAGGTCAATGAGAGATAGGGGACTTACGCCAAGTTCTTCGGGGTTCCACGGGCCATCTATAGTGCATTCCTCACCGGTGTCCATCGTCGCACCGAGGAGATAGAGGAGATAGTTCCTCTGCACACCGTTGTACCGCATAGGCCAAGGGATGGTGATCTCTGTTCGGGCTACTGAGCTTGGACCATTGTTGTAGAGCTACAACGAAAAAAAATATGAAGATTTATTTTGGTATTCAATATTACGTGATGGCATTGTGCCATTCAACAATAAGTCGTTAAGGTGACAACAATAATTACTGTAGGCCCGGGACTGGAGGCAGCTGGTTATGATGTGCCATATTCGACCACAACATACAAAGGAAGTAAATACCTTATATGATATGATATTAATCATGACGTAATCAAGAGACAAGTTAATTCATGGGGATACTTTTATAATTCTTGGCTCCTCTTCTAGCACATTGATAAGTCTAATTTCTCGAGATCAACACATTTCCGAAAGATTACCAAGAGCATGAGAGGTGAATTATTATAGGGTGTTAATATTGGGGAGTGTTTCAGTTGAATGGAAATATCTCAGGTTTTAATGTGGTGGGTAAAGTGGTAACTCACTTAGAAAAGATGGTTGAAGAGTAGTTTTACTGTACCCCTCTTTATAAATGCCTTTTACATGGGCGGATTCAGGGGTGCGTGGAGGGCACACGCCCCTATTTCCTTTCGACAACAGGGAGAAAAGCTAACATTCACATAATTGTTCAGTTTACGCATTAGGTTCAACATTTTCCGGGGCTTTAAAGCGGGCCCCGGACCCTACGCCGTAAAGGATTCGCGCTTCGTGCTCGAAATGTCGTACATTTCACGCCCCCCCCCCCCTTGGAAAATCCTGGATCCGCCCCTGTAATACGCTACAGTTTGAAATCACCCACGGGAAACTGGCCGCTGTAGACAGGTGGCATTTCTAGACATGTTCTAAAACATACATTTTTTTTTAGAGGGATACATACTACATTGCCACTATAGACAGGTGGTATTATTTTGTTGAGAGGTTGTCACTAAGACGGGTTTAACTGTCATTAATAGGGACTTTTAGATTCTGCATGACGAGAACGTGGACTGCCCTTTCAAGGCGACGTGACGTCCTTTTAAGGCACTGGCAGTGACGTCACATTGCCTTAAAAGGGCAGTCCACGTTCTCGTCGTGCATAATCTAAAGGTCCCTATTGTAGAATTCTTACTGAAAACACATGAGTAATGTCGGGTCCCACATCCTTCTCCAGCTTGATAGCCCTGGTCAGCAGATAATTCTCCTCAGAATATATGACTGTCTCTGGAATCACGTTCCTGGGAAAAACAAGATGATAAAGAAATAAAATCGGACTAATCTATGTACATGTGATGATCGATGACAATAGGCAGCAGACCAGGGTACAGAGATTAGTAGAAGTAGTGGTAGTGGTAGTAGTAGAAGTAATAGTAGTAGAACAAAAGTAGTAGTAGTAGCAGTAATAGTAGTTGTTGTAGTAGTAGTAGTAGTAGTAGTAGTAGTAGTAATAGTTGTAATAATAGTAGTAGTTGTAATTACAAAGTTGTAGTATAAAAAAGTAATAGTAATATATTGCCCGAATGATTAGATGTGTTATACAAAGAAAATTAATTTTAAAATGTCTTGAAGCAAGTACAGTAAACATAATTATGCAGGTAAAAGTTGATGAAAAAACATAGGTTTCTACAACTAGTTTACAATTGTCAAATTGTGTTATTTATTGTTCTCCCTAGTGAACTTGCATGACAAGACATTAAAAGAATGATAATAACAACAATGATCAAACTAATGAAGTGTAATGTACATACCCGTGGAAGGATAGGTCTGCTGCAATAGCAAGTGGTACGGTTATGTTGAACTCATTATCAGCTATCATTTGCTCAGATTCCACACTGTTATAATAAAACATTTTAAAATATGATTAAACATTTTAAACGAATTAAATCCAAATTTGATGTTGATTTGATTTTAGTCTACATGTGATAGGAAACAAAGAAACAAACAAACAAACAAATGAACTGAAAACAAACGCCTTTCACGAAAATATAAGACATCACTCTAAAATAATATCGAACTCTCAACAAGAAAAGAGAATGACGACAACGACAATAAAGGTAACATTACAGTACATCGGTAAGATAAAAGGTGAATGAAAACAAATGGGGAAGACAAATTGTAAAATATCCTATGACATCATTAGTCATGTTAGGAATTACTTTAACAATCATATTCATGAAAGAAACATGTAAAAGATGATATCAAATGACTTAGAAAAAGAACGAACAGTTAAAACAATAGATGGGTTGTTGTAGTGACGGTTTTCAGGGAGGGGGGGGGGGGGGGGAGGGTCTACAATTCACCCATGTCCCCTTGAAACCCAGATTGGCATATTTCAAGAACACAAACGATATAATATATCCCCACCAAGCCCCTTAACATTGTATAAGAAGGAATCTGCACAATCTGATAGCATTTAGGAGGTCAATTCAAAACAATTTTGTTTGCCCCCTCCCACCTTTCTAAAGAATTCTAAATATGCCCCTTGAAGGTTTTGCATTCATACCTGCTAACCCCGAAGGTAAAGTGTACATTGTCTCCATTTCCTGGTAGATTAGTACTGCTGAACTGCATCTTCAGAATGACCTGTCAGCATGAAAAGTACAAATTAAACAATAACAAATGGGAATATAAGTAGATGATTTGTATTTACTTATGAACAGGCGCGTACGCAGGATTTTTTCAAGGGGGGGGGGGGGGTTAACATTTATAAATCGGGCCGAAAATTTCGCAACGATTCAGCCAGCCGTTGAATAAGCGGGGGGGGGGGGGGGGGGGGGGTAAGAGATCACCTTTTTTTTTTTTTTGGTCCCAAAAAAATCGCAACGACTCAGCCGACCGCTGAATAAGCGGGGGGGGGGGGGTGAGAGGACACTTTTTTTTTTTTTTGGTATCTTTGAAAATTTGACGTTTTGCTCCGTTGGGGGAAAGGGGGGGGGGGTTTAGGGAAATTTAGGGGGGTTTACACACACAACAAATACCAAAGAGGGGGGGGGGGGGTTTAACCCCCCAACCCCCCCCCCCTGTATACGCGCCTGCTTATGAATAAAAAGACATCATATTTCTTTGCCTAAGTATAGGCTTTTCTTATGCTTCAGATTAAACAAGAGATGTCAATTTAAATAGATGGCATATGTTATATTGTACATTTTGTGTGTTTGATATGTTACAGTATATATAAAGGACCCCTGTAGAAGGAAGGTCTAACAAAAAGGAAGGAAAAACAACTTACCAGGTATAACATTCTATTGGACCTATTCATTCTGTTTTCTTTTCCCTTTAAAAGTTAAACAACTGGTAACTGTTAGTGTATTCGTATACATTTTGAATATTTTTTCTTCTGTTGTGTCATTTTATTTTAACAAATCTAGAAAATTAGATATACCTACTGTTAATAATTATCGTTCACCAACTCGATAAATATATATTCAGTTCTTATTGGCAGGGGTGAGCGGAAAATGTATTTTTTTCTGGTTAAACAAGACAACAACAACAGTTGCCTAATATGTTAATAAACTTTAAACAAAGCCAGATTAATAACATTTCGGCACCAGAATGACCATGCGTTTGATTTGCACAGATCTGGTAATTTCGCTGTATACATTTAATCCAAATATTGTTTGAGCTTTATACATACCGTAGTTCCTGCTGTGAATGGATTTCCTACATCACAACTTATCTCTGATGACTGGACCATGCTATTACAGGTCACAATTTGGTCCTGGTGAAAGAAAAAGGAGAAACAAAAATAGTAATAAAAGCATTTGTTTGTTCAGTGTCTGTGATATGGTGTAATATGGAAGCCCTACAAAGAGTGCGCTTCAAAAGATCATGAAGTGCTCAAAAAATAAAAATCTTTGAGTGACCGGTTTTACCATACTCATTTTCCCCAAGAGACTATAGAGTTATAAAAACCGTTGGGAAAATTCCAATCATAAGTATCTTGATAATCAAACATGCGGTTTATAATTGTGAATGCAGCATGATCCAGGATTTTGTTTAGAATCTGAGGCAAAGATATTTTATCCCTTTAAGAATATAAATTATGGACGTATCTTTAATCTGGTTGAGGGAAAATGCGTTGTTTTGATAAATATTTTATTTATAATTTGGTGCACAGTACAACAATCTCATGATTTTGAGACTGTAAGTAATAAACAAAGACTGGATGATATTCAAACGGCCAACTAGCACGAATATAACCAGTGGCGGATCCAGGAAATTCTTACAGGAGGAGGGGGCAAAACATGGCATGGGGTGAAATCAGTAGCGTACGCAGGATTTTTTCAAGAGGGGGGGGGGGGGGTTAACATTTTTAAATCGGGCCGAAAATTTCGCAACGACTCAGCTGGCCGCTGAATAAGCGCGCGGGGGGGGGGGGGAAGGATGACATATATTTAATTTGTTTTGGTGCCCTGGATCCGTCCCTGATAACAATTATTATTCATAATGAACTGTGTATTGTAACGCTCCAGATGTTAAACACACATAAGCAGTTATATTTTGAAACTTACCGTTTGTACGCGAGTAAATCCCGCATATTGTAACTCCTGTGGTACCTCTACAGTCAGCGTGGAGAGGTATGCATCCTCACCATTGTTATCAATTGTGACCTCAATCGTTATCGACTCCGAGGATCCCACTAACAAACTCGCCGTTTCCCTTTAATATATGACAAATCGAAGATTAATTACAATACAGACAATATCTCGAATGAGTGGCTTTGAAATCTAATGCCTTAAAGCCCCACTGTACTACTTATAGTTACTTGCGCCCTCTATATAGAAAAGAATGCCTAATCGGTACCTATTGGTCCCCAGTGATCCCCCTTTTCTTATGTTAACTGAGAGCTGATTTGATGAGATAACCACCTGTCGGTGACCTTGCAGAAAGGTCTAATCCTCCTGGCTAAACTAGTGCAGACGGGCTTTAAGAGAATTTTTTACTATAAATTCTATAAATATTAACATAATAACAAAAATGCCGAGACTGGATCGTTTTCATTGATGCATGTAACAAATTAAAATGCTCATCTGTATATATTTTTAATATCTTGATGGTCAAACAGCATTTTTATTGACTTGTTTCAAGTTTCGACTGATTCTGGGTCAATCAACTGAGGAGATGATCGACCGAAAAAAAGTTGTAGACTTCATAACATTGCTTGACAAAAGAACTTTGACAGTTCAATAAAATACGTATGCACTTTCTGTTGAATCTTTCTTTTATATAAATATATATATATATGACTTTCTTATTTGGTTTTGCATTACGCGATAATTTACACGTATCATCTAGTGAAATAAAGACCAAACAAATCTTCTCGTTTTATCATCGTATTGCTCATAATGTAGAAAACATAAGATGTAATAAAAGTACAGTGCCACTTCGATACTTCCTCATTTCATAAACGTGTAATTAATTAAATTGATACTTACGTAGATGCCCGCACGCGTAAGTCAGGAACACAAGTTTCGTTCATACAGTTTCGTTCAATCGGTACCTTCAGGAAATACAGGAATGAAAAGGATAAATAAATTATTTGTTTTGAAACATACATGCAGAAGCACATAGATATTTATCTTTCGTACAGTAGACCTACATCCTTTACAGCGGATAAAGGTGATGTGCAAAGGATAACAAAAAATGTGTATGTGTAGTTTGGAATCCCTTATTAAAGATTAAATTATAAATATTTTGTTATTAGAAACAAAACAACATCTCAGTCACACCCAACACATTGACTCCAAAGCGACCGATTCTTAGCTTTTTGGGATAATGTAATTTTTTCGGTCCGTCTAATGTTGTTCAGGTGTCCGTCCCGTTAATATTACTGGGGTATAAACAAAAAGTGGAAAACAAGGGGGGTAGAATAAGAGGGGGGGGGACAGAGAGGCATACAGACAAAGATACGCATACATGAACAAACATGCAGACTTTGACAAAGACATACAATACAATTACTTACTGAAAGAGCTCGAAAGTTGTCACTCGATTCGTCCAGAATGGGCAGTATCTCACCCGGAGCAGGGCTACTGTCAGGTAGCCCGAAGCTAAGAGATACAGGGATAGGGGACAATTTGTCCACAATCGTAGGCTGTTAGCAGAGAAATGAAAAGAGATGTTCTTCAGATAATCATCTTTCAATATCAGCCGTTTAGCCTTTTGACATATTACAAAACATTATTTAATCCACGGCCCGTATTCTCAAGTCGTGTCTAACTCCTGTTTAACTAATCAGTTGGTAAACTTTATTCATGACTAAGTTAGACACGACCTCAGTATACGGGCCATAAAAGGGATTGTATTCTACTGACACTACTTCAAACTTACGCATACTGCTTACAATGTCCCGACGTGTCGACTAAAATTGGTCTGACACTTAAAATTATTTTTTATATTAGGCAATAATTTCTTATGACTTTATACCTTGGCGTATGCAGTGAAAGGGTTGCAGTATTCCACGTTACTAGTTAAGGTGACCGTAAGGCTCACGCTGGAAGCGTCATTTCCTCCCAGGTCAAAGTTCGCCCGTCGCGTTGACTGTCGATTGTAGTCAAGGGACAAAGAGTAATCGAAGTCTAAGAGAATTATATTGAACAAAAAAAATTGTAAAAAATGAATTAATGATAATATACTAGAGTGTGAACTAAATGCCTTTACAGGTGATTAGACCAACACAATGACATAACGTGTGCAACGGGCATGAACCACCCTAAGGTGACTTTAATCAATTGATTATATCTCATGGAATTTCCCAAGTGGAAATCCATTCGAGTAAACTTATTAACGTCATTGTCGAATCATCAAATCTCACCATAACTCATTCAAGATTTAATGAATAAAATCACAATCATTTTTAATGAAAGATGAATAACCACAGAAATACATTATCATCTCAATTATTATAAAGGAATCAGAAGAAAAAAATCAACACAAAATAAAAAAACTTTACCGAGATTCGGGGGCACGTTCGTTCCGGAATACCTGATGCAGACTTCGAAATCAAAACTGTAAAATAACGAAAGATAATAATCTTTACACATTGAACAAAAGATAACTCACGAATACACGCATATTGCACAATCTGATCTCACTTACTTAATCTACTACAATGTAATAATCAAAACAATTTCCTTCTCGCCCATTAAATAGCCTATATTTGAAGCAATTTAAAAAAAAACGAATGAGAGGTGTACATGGGAGAATCTGGCCTTGCATATGTCAAGTTTGACGATCTCATCAATATGACATCTTGTGCCGGAAATAAGAGGAGCTGGTAGACACCTGATCACACCGACCTCGTCAAGTCGCTGCCATTACATCAGGAATACAAGACTCACAGATTCTGGCTTTCGTCATCCTTCTTTTGGAGAGAACAAGACGAACCGGTTCCTGATTTCGTCACCCTTGGTTCGAGAAGACAAGACACTTAGATTCCTGAATTTGTCACCCTTGGTTCGAGAACACAAGACGCATATATTCTATCACCATCTGTTCGAGAAGACAAGACACATACATTCCTGATTCCGTCACCCTCCCTTGATTCCAGAAAACAAGACGTATAGATTTTGGATTTCGTCAACCTTCTTTTGAAGAGAACAAGACGTACGGGTTCCGAGGTTCGTCATCTTCGGTTCGAGAAAACAAGACGGATACATTCTTGGTTTCGTCACCCTCGGTTCGAAAAGACACGATACTTCTATTCCTGATTTCGTCACCCTTTCTTCGAGAAGACACGACACTTAGATTCCTGATTTCGTCATCCAGCCTTGGTTCGAGAAGACAAGACGCATACATTCCTGATTTTGTCACCCTTTCTTCGAGAAGAAAAGAGGCATACATTCTTGATTTCGTCACCCTGTGTTCGAAAAGACACGACACATACATTCTTGATTTCGTCACCCTTTGTTCGAGAAGACAAGACGTATACACTCTTGATTTCTTCACCATTGGTTCGGGAAGACACGTCACACAGATTTTTGATTTCGTCACCCTTTGTTCGAGAAGACAAGACGCATATATTCTTAATTTCGTCACCCTTTGTTCGAGAAGACAAGACGTATAGATTCTTAATTTCGTCACCCAGCCTTGGTTCGAGGAGACAGGACGCATGCATTCTTGATATTGTCATCCTTTGTTCGAGAAGACAAGACGCATATATTCTTAATTTCGTCACCCTTTGTTCGTGAAGACACGACACTTCTATTTCTGATTTCGTCACCCTTGTTTCGTGAAGACAAGACACTAATATTCTTGATTTCGTCACCATTTGTTTGAGAAGAAAAAACACATACATTCTTAATTTCGTCACACTTTGCTCGAGAAGACAAGACCCATACATTCCTGAATTCGTTACCCTTTGTTCGAGAAGACACGACACTTAGATTCCTGATTTCGTCACCCAGCCTAGGTTCGAGGAGACAGGACGCATACATTCTTGATTTCGTCACCCTTTGTTCGAGAAGACAAGATACTTAGATTCCTGATTTCGTCACCCAGTCCTGGTTCGAGGAGACAAGACGTATACACTCTTGATTTCTTCACCATTGGTTCGGGAAGACACGTCGCACAGATTCTTGATTTTGTCACCCTTGGTTCGAAAAAACAAGACGTATAGATTCCTGATTTCGTCACCCACCCTTGGTTTGAGAAGACAAGACACATAGGTGCCTGATTTCGTCAACCTTTGTTCGAGAAGACACGACACACAGATCCTTGATTTCGTCACCCTTGGTGCGAGATGACAAGACAATTGTCATTTGAAACTTTTTATTGTAAAACTACATTGTATAGTACCATACCGACACCCAAATCACTCACCTAGAGACAGCTGTCCCACTGGCCGTGTTGTGATTGGTATTTTTGAGATCAATAGATTCTGTTTTCGAGACCAACGATCCCGTCACGTGAACAACTGGTCTAGATCTGAAACATGGAATGGAAAAGTAATTATATTTAAAGATAGTCTTTGAGTAAAACTCCGAAAACGGGCACCTTCCCCTTTGATGATCCACTGGCGTACCCCCAAGTAAACAACGTCTAAAACATACACACTTTGTCACATTTTCGACTTAAAAAGTATTCCCGATATCTGATGTCCTTTTCTCTTTTTTCTCATGAGAACATAATATTATTTGAAACTATGCCCAGTTTACAACAATCTCGATCTTACTCTACTTTTTTAATCCATCGATTGCTTGATAAGCAATGAAGAATTTAAGCTCCTAAATAGAGAAAAAAAATCTTTAAAAAAGAGAGATAACAAGAAGGAAAACCAAATAGAGATATGTCTAGCAGAGATAATGCTTTCTTACCTCACAAGTACTACTGTCGATGACTTGTAAGCCCCTACGACCAAGTCTTGAATTGTGGAAGGAAAAAAGGATAATATTTATTTATTATGCATAAGAGTACTTTCTCTTATCCGTACAGTCATTACAAGACGCCAAGTTTCGACAACCGTTACAAATTCCATTTAAGAAAGATTTCATTAGTTGCTCATTTTATGCATACCCTCCAAAAAATAAAAACAGTTTTTCTATCCATAGATTTGAAATTTTAGAACAAAACGGTGAATCAAATGATGACAATATTTTTTTATCGTGAAATCTTTGATTTCAAAACTGTTATATTCAATTTAATTCAAGTTAACATTAATTTTCCTCCATTCCTTTTTTTCTAAGTCAAAAAATTACCCAAGTAATACATGTTTACAAACACAATGACATGAGCAATGGTTTTAATACAGGGAAGACGGCGTACTTCGTAAAAGCATAAAATTATTCATACCCCTGTAAATTTAATGTATTTTGTATTTTCGTAACTCAAGAAGGATCGGTAGACTGGTTAAAGTAGGGCCTTTGTTGAATACTGTAAGATGTAAGCATTGATATGTCACTTTCTCAAGAAACATAAATCGGGACAAATCAATTTTTCACAAACTTAAAAAATAAGAAACTTGTTAAGGGTATAAATAATTTAGATGTTAACTGTAAATGCTTATTTTGGATACGCCTTATAACAATTTAATACACGTATAAAAGATCAAAAAGAGGAATAGAAAAAGAAAGGAAAATACTAGAAAGGAGAAAGGTAAGATTAAGAGTAAAGAAGTTGAAAACGTAGTGCCACAAATTACATAATCGCAAGCCGATTCATAAGTATTCTTATAATGTTATGATACTGTTATATGATATTATCGTCACTCTATGGCCCGAATTCACAAAGCAAGGTTTGAGCTCAAACCTCCTTTTGTTTCGCCAAACCTCCTTTTGTTCTTTACAAACCAGGTTTGTAAAAAACGCGTAAAACGCGTCATATGACGTACGAAAACCAAGGTTTGTCGACAAACCTCCTTTGTGAATTCGGGCCTCTAAGTTTACTGTCATACCTGGGTACATATTATTATCCATGTCCATTCCAGCTGATAGCGATGATCCAAATGTGTTGAGGCTTAGTCCGAAATCAGAAGGTTCGAGGCTCTGGGGAGCAATAACAGCGCACAATATATTACAATCAAACGCCGTGGCTTACAATAAAGCCCCAATACATTGTCATGAAGTTAAAATCATAAATAGCATGCGAATGTATATGTTTAATCGTGAAGGGGGGGGGGGGAGGGGTTAAACTTCAAACCACAAGACGTGGGGATTGGTTTTCTGTGGTGACATAATATACATTGATAATGGTGCACTTGGCCTTGTGGCGTGCGCCTGTAATCCATCTAACAGTGGAAGTTACAAACGGATTCAACCGAGGACGCAGGTTCGAAACTGAGTCACGTCTTTCGGATGGTGACGTTTAAAGGTCGGTCCCCAGACGTAAAACAATCATATATCTGATTGATACACGTCTGTAAAAACCCAAATATCCCCACCCATCCCCCTACTCCTGACGCCAGTAGATATCAATAGTATAACTTACTTGTGCAAACGTAGTAGATAGACCTAGCCGGCCTTGGCTGTGGTAGATGTACACTATCCCTTCACCAGTCTTTCCACCGTAAGGAGCGCTGACCGCTAAGTCTGTATCAAAAAAGTGCATGACGGATTCAAAAGTGAAACTATTAAAGTGTCGGTAGACTGATTTGAGGGGGAGGGGGTGGGGGTGGGGGATGGGGATGGGGGTGGGGGTGGGGGTGGGGGGTGGGGGTGGGGTGGGGGTGGGGGGTGGGGGTGGGGGTGGGGGGTGGGGGGTGGGGGTGGGGGGGGGCATTTATCCCAGTTTGCTGTCAACAAAGCAAAACATGAAGACGAAGAACAGGAAATCTAGACAAACAACCACATGGGTTTAATTTTGTATTCATCAACTAACCAACCAATTAAACGAACAAAACAAAACAAAAAATCAAGAAAATAACGGCAAGAGCAACAACGCACAAATATAGCCATTCATTTTTGCGATTTGAAAAAAAATTACAGTTTGCTGACAGAAAAGGAGGAATGGCATGTTATGATATTTTCCACAATCGAAATCCGAGAACATTACCGTTGTATCCGTCTTGGTTAACATCGCTTAGAGCCGCCATACTAAATCCGAATCGAGCACGAACTTTGTAACCCTGGATGGTCGTACCCTCGGAGAAACCACCCTGGAGGGGAAAGAAGAAGAAGAAGAAGAATAGAGAGAAGGAAGGGGTTTAAGATGGAGAGAAGGTGAAAAGGGGAAGAGAGTAGGAGGGGGAAGAGGCGTAAGAGGAGCAGGGAGAGGAGGAGGAGGATGGGGAGGAAGTTGATAAGAAGAAGCGGTGGGATGAAGAGAAGGAGGAGTAAGGGAATGAAGTTGAAGAGAAGGAGGAAGAGAAAATTTCATTCAACAATTAAAATCTGAAAGAAAATACAATATCCTTAAACAGATTGTTGTATAAATGCCATACGACAGAACCAGATTTAAGTAGGGGGAGGGGGGGGGGGGACAAATTTCACTGGCCCTTTTAAAAGTCTATATCTGTACCCTTAGTGCATAAGAATGTTTTCAAGTTTTTAATGATTTTATATTCCAAAGGGCCTTTGAATATGTAAAGACTTTTTCTGGTCGTTGATAGATCACAACTGTGCCTTCTTCTTTGCAGAATCCTCGAGCCACCACTGAAATGATATTCAAATCAACGATTATAAAGGTTAACAGAAAAGAAGACCATGTTAGTTTGCGCTTCGTAATATTATTTCGTAATTATCCTTACGTTTTCATCATTGTAGAAGATCCTCACTCGACCGATCTCCCATCCGTCAGTCGTCTTCGACTCGTCGATGTAGAACGGTGCACTGACCACGAGATCCGTGAAGCCGTCATCATTGAAGTCAGATACGACCAGGGTGTGACCAAAGAAGGCTCCGGTCTGACTGCCCGTGAGGTTCAAATAGGCGTTCATTGTCGAGTCGAAGATGGACACCTAAGAGGCAGAGGTTCCAAGATAAACACTATGAATATGACGGACAAAGAAAGAGGACAAAATATACAGTTCCTCAGGTAGACAAAGGAACATCCTTTCATTGCTATTATATAAAAATGTGTAGAACAGGTGTCACATGCATATTCACCTGTTCCACACATTTTTACAGAATAGCAGTGAAGGGACGTTCCTTTATCTACCTGAGGAACTGTATATTTTGTCCTCTTTCTTTGTCCGTCATATTCATCGTACGTCATGCCATTACAGTTTTAAATAATCTGAGCTGTCTGGAAGTAATTTGCAAAGGTTAACCATGTAATACACACAAATTGATGTTTACTGTGGGGATTATTTAATTTTTTAATCATCAATATAGAAAGAAAATCGACTCAATTGTGCTGAACATCACAAGCTCTGCACACAAATTGAGTATAGTGAGCAACAAATTTACATTATAAGGCATGACAGTTTGGTCTTAACTTTTCAGCTAGCTCTTGTCATATTTTGAAGAGCGACTCTTTCATGGGACATTTCAACTACTCTATGCATCCAAAGTGACACTAAGAAGACCCAGAGAGTTCACAAATTAGTTTCTATTTTTTACGGGGACTCAACCTTTTCTTTTGTAAAGGTCTTCAGTTCTAGTAGAGTAAATAACATTCAGAATAAGATTGTGTATAGACATGTACTTTGCAACAGACTGGTTAATTAACATATTCAGATTGGCAGATGCTTTTTTTCAGAGGACTTAGTGACGAGTTATTCAATCAATCCGTTATTTAGTGAATGCACTAAAATACTTGGAATGCAGTCTGCATACATTGTTTATTGCTATGTCGGGTAAGCCTCTGGTAATAAATTTCCTAAATTTCGGGTTGTCAAGAACAGCCTTTGTTTAAATGGTATGCATATAATTTTAATTTTAGGAAACCGGCCTATTACGAAGGACAGCTACGTGAGCCACATGAGTTATTAGGGACTTTTAGATTTGCGTGGACTGCTACGTATGACGTCCTTTTAAGGCACTGGCTGTCACACGTAGCAGTTCACGTTGTCGTCGTGCAAATCTAAAAGTCCGTATTGTGGACAGCTGGAAAAGCCAACCGTCTCTGTATCAAGGAAGAGGCCCACACAGGCCAATCAAATGAGTTTCTGACGTTTAAAGGTAAAGACCAGTATTGGAAATGTCCCAATTTCAAAAAATGAAATGGAAGCTCTCATTACCAATCATGTGAAAGAATATGTTTTGACTAATACATGGTGATAACAAATTTGCCGGGAAACCGCCTACTAATTCATATATTTGGTAAATTTGTTTCTCTCATGGTCTGTGAGAGATATAGGGTAGTCCCATATACATATTTCTGTGTATAGTGCTTGTAACTTTATGAAGAATGGGCCACATTTCTTATCATTTTGATGATTCCAGAACCTTGCAGATGCTAGATGCTAGATGATCAACCTTTTCTGATCGATTCCACAACGTTTCTTTCACAATGCAATCGCATGACCATAACTGGTCTTTACCTTTAAGCATTTCTTTATGCCATTAACAAAAGGTATCAACGGTTTGATCTTAAACCAAAGGTTACATAATTACATGCATACATGCTTGCTGATGGGACATTTTTTTTGTGGTAAAATGCCAGCTGAAAATTTTCCTTTAAAGCCTGTCTGTACTAGTTTGGCCAGGAGGGGTTAGACCTCCCTGCTAGGTCATTGACAGGTGGTTATCTCATCAAACCAGCTCTGAAACATTGTTTGCTATATAGAGGGCGCAAGTACCCATCGATGCGCTACCTATGATTAAATCCTTCAGACATGAAAGCGATACCGTGTTCACCTTTGGTAGAAAACACCATCAGCTTGATTTGAAAGGGTTCAGTTTGACTTACTATTCCGACTAGATTGTCGGCACGAGGTATTCCTACCGCATACTCCGGTCTGGAATCTCCTTTGAAATCACCAAAAGCAACTGCATAGCCTGAATGCAAAAAATATGATAATGTGTAATAATTACCTTTAATATTTCCTTTTCCTCTGAGTCCTAAGAGAGTGAGCCATGGTTTGATAAATCGATTTTATTTGTAGGGTGTTATTCTTTACATTTTTAGGAATAAACCTGAGAGCGGAAGCATTGCAAATTATTTACTTTTGATAATCAAAGACATCATAAATACTAAAAGTAGATACACGTACTTTTTACCATTACAATTATGATTTCAATCAAATCGCTTGCAATAAGAATGTGACATCAGATAATTAGAATAATCAAAATTGTACTCTTATTTTTTTGTTGTTGTTGCTTTCAATGTAAGAATACATACCCTGTCATGATGGTCAAATGGTGTCGAAATGTGACAATGCATATTTCTTTTCAAGGCCGACTGGTAAGATGGACTCTTAAAATATTTGTCGGAATGAATAGTAGAATGAACTAGACCAATATGGAATCCGAGAACCAACTGGAAGTGGAATGACACTGTACATTTGGGCTAGTATGGCAGAGAACAGATTGTTTGTTGTTGTTGGAGGGGGGTGGGGGGGGGGGGGGGGGGGGGAGGCAATCAACCCCAAGCCCGGAGAAGATATAGGAGAGTGTTTCACAAAGACTAAGATCAAATTTAAGTTTGACTGAAGTATGGCAGGCCTTTCATGCCACTGTTTGCTCTAACCATTATAATCTTTAGATAATATGTTTTCCTTCAATAATGAATTATCAAAACATGTAAATTCTGTAGATTTGTGACCATGATTTGTACGTCTCTTGAGAGACAAATGCCAGTAAATGGTGAGAGCAAACCATGGCATAAATAGCCTGCCATAGTTAAGTCCAGTTTAAAATCGATCGTAGTCTTTGTGAGACACTCCCCAGGATAGATCGATAGAATCATAATCGACCCTATTTTGGTTTAAAGAAGGAGGACAGTACAAACCTCGGTAACTATCGTCAAAGCGGACAGGTCCCTCGTTGGTTCGCCGTTCACTTTGAAGATCTGTACCTGTCACCCATATTTGACCTTGATCAAAAGAGAAGAAAACACAAGAACAATCACAATTTTGTCTGGTACATTTATCGAAATGTAGTCCTACATTATTATTATTTTTTTTTTAAGGGGGGGGTGGTGGGGGGGGGGGCCTACGGATCGAGTATTTCATCTTTTCTTTCAGCTCTAGATTATTCTAACTTCGCCCTTCTTCTTCCACGTTGCCCCCCCCCCAACCACTCTCTCTCTCTCTCTCTCTCTCTCTCTCTCTCTCTTCTCTCCCTCTCTCTCTCTCTCTCTCTCTCTCTCTCTCGCTCTGTCGCTCTCTTTCTCTCTTTCTCTCTCTCTCTCTCTCTCTCATTCTCTCTCTCTCTCTCATTCTCATTCTCTCTCTCTCTCTCTCTTTCCCCCTCTCCCCTCTCTCCATCTCCCATTTCTCTCCATCCCCTCTGTCCTTCCATTGCCCCACCCCCTCACTCCAACTTTTCCTTCTTTACCTTCCCCATCCTTTGTTAGTGTCACATGGGAATCCCAGCTATACAATTTCCCCATGCATTTCAAACAAACATTTCCTCCATGTTTATCTATCTGTGAATATCGTTATAGACCTCCCCTATGGCATTGTTTGAAAGAAAATAGATTTAGGATTTTTTTCCTTCATTTTCTCCTGCTTACCTTGCCAAAAGAAACTTCCGGGGGCGCCGATCAAAATCTCATCCTGTTTGGGGGAAAAACAATAAAAATGCACATTGATTGGATCATGCTATTTGCTATATAATTTGGAGCACATGAAGTAAGATCAAAAGTGATTGAATGGCAACATTCAATGTCTACTTTTCTGATCGAACGTACTGCCGATTTGGGTCAATCTTAAAGTTTCTCGTTTAAAGGCACACTGTCCTACTTGTAGCTACTTGCTCCCTCTATATAGAAAACTTCCCCAATCGGTGCCTGTTGGTCCCCCATGATCCTCTTTTTCTTATGTTAAATGAGAGCTGAGTTAATGAGATAGCCACCTGTCACAGTGACCTCGCTGGCTCGCTGGGCGGTCTAATCCCTCCTTGCTGAAGTAGTAAAGCCTACCTTTAAAGCTTATCTGCTGTAGTTTACAGGAGGGATTAGACCGCTCTGCAAGGTCACTGGACAGGTGGTTATCTCATCAACTCAGCTCTCAGTTAACATAAGAAAAAGAGGATCATGGGGGACTAATGGTCATCGATTAGGCATTGTTTGTCTAATATATAGAGGGCGCAAGTAGCTACCAGTAGTGCAGTGGGCCTTTAAAGTATGTCAATAGGTGATTGATCTATTTTACAGATTTCATTTTAGTGTGTGGAAGATGTCACTCTATATCATTCGGTTTAACTGATTGTCAACTTGCTTGTGTGTTAACATAGTGCATTGGTTGCCTGAGGGATCGTTTGACAATGTTAAATCTGAGATGCATGGCCCTGCGTGTAATATCAGTGTCTGTGATATGGTGTAATATAATAAATTTCTAAAAAATTGCGCTTCAAAATGATCATGAAGTGTCTCAAAAAAGTAAAAATCTTTGAGTGACCGGTTTTACCATACTCATTTCCCCCAATACACTGTACATGTAGTTTTATAAAAACCGTTAGGAAAACGAAAAATGAAATATCTTGATAATCAAACAGGCTATCGGCTTGTAGAAGTCATGGGATTCCTGACCGATCTGAAGGTTTATAATTATGATTGCAGCATGAGCTAAATCCAGGATTTTGTTTCAGAATCTGAGGCATTATTATCGAGTCAATTTAAAGGTAAAGACCAGTTTTGGAAACGCCCCCTCCCAAAATATGAAATGGAAGCTCTTATTACCAATCATGTAAAAAAAAAAAATGTTTTGACTAATACGTATTGATACAAATTTTGCCGGGAAACTGCCTACTAATTGATATATTTGGTAAATTATTATTTCTATCCGGACCGGGTAGATATCGCGCACGTGTCGCGTAGTTACATATACATGTACATGTACATCTTTATGTATACAGTGCTTGATTTTGATTTGATTTGATTTGATTCTATTCATTTTCCACTCAAATATCCACAAATTAAATGACATATATAAACCATACAGTAATACAATATATAATATAACTGGGCCAAATTTCTTATCATTTTGATGATTCCAGAACCTTGCAGTACACACCAATACTTATATGCTAGATGATCAACCTTTTCTGATCGATTCCACAACGTTTCTTTCACAATGCAATCGCATGACCAGAACTGGTCTTTACCTTTAAAACGAATATGTAAAGGAAACTTACGGAAGTTATATCTGCTGCAATTCCTGCCTCGCAATGGGTGATGCCAAATACAGATTGTTCGCTTTCTGAAAAGAAAATGACAATAATTATAGTAATGCCTGGTAGAAGGATTTGATCAATACAAATCAGGATGACCCTGCTCATGATTTCTTTCATTTTATGCTGGCGATTTGTAGTTTTGAATATTACGACACATAACGGTCAGCAGCAAGTTAAGTTTAAAAATGTTGTCGAAATTGAACGATTCTCACAATGCCCTTACTTACTTTCCAATCTACTTTCAACATGATTAACGGATTATAAAGTCCAATTTCAGTATGGTGCCACTAAATGTGTGTGTGTATTTATGAGGGGGGGGGGGGGTACGTGAAATAAGTAAATTAAACAAAATGAGAAGAGAGGAAAAGAAAAAGCGATGTTCTCGGTGAAATACAACAGTAGTGGTGGGTGGGGGCAGCGGGGACACATGTCCCATGTACCCCTCTCATCTACATCAACAATTTCTGTTAAAGCCCGTCTCCACTAGTTTAGCCTTGAGAGATCAGACCTCCCTGCAAGGTCACTGACAGGTGATAATCTCATCAAATGAGCTCTCAATTAACATAAGAAAAAGGGACCATGGGAGACCAACAGGCACCGATTAGGCATTGTTTGTTTTATAGAGGGTGCAAGTAGCTATAAGTAGTGCAGTGGGCCTTTAAAAGAAAGCATTCTTACCGCGGCCGGTGCGGCAGGGCTCATACACCTCTATGTTGGTGAAGTCAGAGTTGGCAAGGAAGCACCCTCCTATCGGCTCTCGGGCAGTCTTTGTAGCATCAGCTGGTTTGATAAACCACGTATAGAGCGGACGACATGCCTGCCAAAATGAAAGTAAAGTCATACTTTTCTCAGTGATTGTAGCTATGATACTCCACTATCCCAATATCTTTTATCAGTTTCTTCCATGATTGAGGTACATTTCCCGATATCGTGTATTTTTTCCATAAAAAATTCTTCTGCCGTGATATGTAATGGCTTATTTAAAGCTTATCTGCACTAGTTTGGCCAGGGGGATTATACCTCCCGGCATGATCACTGACAGGTGGTTGTCTCATCAAATCAGCTCTCAATTAACAGAAGAAAAAGTGAACCATGGGGGACCAATGGTGATCGATTAGGCATTGTTTGCTGTATAGAGGGCGCAAGTAGCTATAAGTAGTGCAGTGGGACTTTAAGTTATTCTATATACTGTAACTGCTAATCGTTGGGGGGGGGGGTCATCGTCTTTTATTAAGCCCCAATAATTATAGGCTCCCAATGATTCTTCTCTTTGTTCTTCTCAGTATACAAACTCATACAATGTACCTTGTAATTTACATTTTGAAATTCTTTGTATACATTTTGATGTTTATGTGCCACACAAATTACCTTCCTGTGATACATTGTATTTATCACGGTATAGATAAACCAATTAAGGCTTTAAGATTGATCGGAAGATGATTAAAGATAGACTGGACAGAAAATGTCTCTCTTATACTTTGAAACTAATTGATTAAAGTAATTTAACAATTCAATCCAATCCAATACATAAATAATATAGCGCCTTTTCCTTGCAGTTACAAAGCGCTGTACACACACTCCACAATATATTGGTATATTAATTAAAAGGATATTTTATGTTATCAATTTAATTATGCGTCGGACGTAGAGAAACATCAAGGAGAACGAAACAGAATGTACGTCTGGGTTGTAACTAAAGTAGACAATACTTCAACCAAACTTAAATTTAACTTGCACCAATCGATTAATCACTATGTAAATGTGAATTTACCATACGAAAATGTTTAAATCTTACTGAAAAAAAACACCAAATGTTACCTTAATTCAAATACAGCATAAATCACATGTGGTAACAAACAGATCTAGCGAGATATAATTGGTATTAAAGAAGCAAAAATAAAATCAAGTTGCTTATTTAAACTCACCAATATTTTTCCATTTTCCCCGGTGCTTTTTACGGTTGCTCCTAACCATTGCCCTGACTTGTCTGCTATCTTCGCCCCTACTTCGTTGTCGTCGGTACCTGGAAGATAATTTATGTTTTAATATTGAGTCATTGAGCTTAAAGGTAAAGACCAGTTATGGTCATGCGATTGCATTGTGAAAGAAACGTTGTGGAATCGATCAGAAAAGGTTGATCATCTAGCATCTAGCATCTGCAAGGTTCTGGAATCATCAAAATGATAAGAAATTTGGCCCATTCTTCGTAAAGTTACAAGCACTATACACAGGAAGATGTATATGGGACTACCCTATATCTCTCACAGACCATGAGAGAAGCAAATTTACCAAATATATGAATTAGTAGGCGGTTTCCCGGCAAATTTTTTATCATCAAATTATTCAAAACATATTCTTTCACATGATTGGTAATGAGAGCTTCCATTTCATTTTTTGAAACTGGGGCGTTTCCAATACTGGTCTTTACCTTTAAAACATACGACAAAATCATGACATGTAGGCATTTACAATGTTATTCCATGCGTAAGTAATAATACACTCATCTCCGTAACTCAATTTGAGCAAGTAATCAAATCTTAAATGGTCGTATAAGCATTGACTTCTTGCTTCTGCTACGAGTTCCTCCTCCTCCTCCTCCTCCTCCTACTCATTCTCCAACAACAACAGCAGCAACAACAGCAGCAACAACAACAACATAATGAACAACAACAATTACAGCATTACAAATTCATAACTTTCTTATTTCTTATCGGATTTATCTTAAACTGTCACTGATGTGTTTCTAACATTAGTGATTTTATCAAAACCGATTAAATATCGGGTGCAATTCCCTTTAAAAGCCTGTCTGCACTAGTTTGGCCAGGGGAGGGGGGGGTTAAACCTCCCTGCCTGGTCACTGGCAGGTGGTTATCTCATCAAATCAGCTCTCAAAGAAAAAGGGGAACATGGGGGACCAACAGGCATTGTTTGCTATGTAGAGGGCGCAAATAGCTACAAGTAGTGCAGTGGGGCTTTAAAACTCCTCCAGCTCCAATACAAGTTTAAAACAAATAATTACCTAATGAGTCAAAGGCTGAAAGCTCTTCACACTCTCCTGGGTTGGTTAGGGGTGTGAGAGGACATCTGAATAGAGCGCCCCCTCGTGTAACATCCGGCTCAGATGTTTGAAATCGCGGTGCACCAACGATGACCCTGAATCATGGTAACAAAATGAAACAAGAGAAGATTGAAAAAATATAAATGTTGTATTTTTCCTTTCTGTATTTTATGATCCACCGTGACCTATTGGATGTAATAGATTTTTATCTCGTGTACTCGTCATCAGACAACTAATGCACAGTAAAATGATCATTTTCATGAATCGCACATGCATTTCAAAATTATAATGTATCACGATAAAAGTTGGGATCTCAAATCCAATCTGTCCTAAGAAAAATCAACGCGCTTTACATAAATAATATACTAGAACATGACATAAAAAGATACCGCTTAAATTAGAAATGTAGATTTGCTGTAATTCATATATTCCATACACAAAATACCCATTGCAATAAACTCGATTATTACAAAGCAACAAAACTTTTGAATACGAATGTATGCTGGTATGCGCTTGAAAAGAGGTGGGATTTCAATTGTTTCTTATTGTGCTGGGGTGAAGAGTACATGGGAAATAATTCCATAATGTGGGTGAATGAATAGAACATGCTCTATTTCCAAATGGGACGGTTAAGAGATTTTGTGTGAATGTTCCTTGAGGGGACGTATATCACATTCGTATGTCTGACATTTGAATAAATACACGACGTTGCTCACGTCTGTAACCAGTGAAATGAAACATCAGCAACGAAAGACACAAGACTGTAATGTGCCTATAATCTCATTAAAAGTTAATTCCTCATGAGAAATATTTAATGAGAGGTTACTGCCAGGTTTAAGGTTAACCTGGCTTACCGTAACAATTTTTATTGATTTGTTGCTATTTTGTTAATTGTTAAATTTTGATAAATGGCTAAAACTCCCTTTTGTCACTATACGTGGGCCTACTGCTATGGTTTCAGTTTTCATGCTCCATACTCAAGTTCGTGACAGTTTTAAAATTACTGAACAGAAGATATGCCCGTATAATGTCTAAACAACACAATGCTAGACCATTATACTCGTGTCACATTGCAAATCAGTGACATGTTTACGCGTCCATCAGTCATCGTAGAACACAAACAAATATTATGCAGACTCATAGAACCGTGGATGGCAAAACAAAATCCACGACCTTGGCGTACACATAAATGCCTACACACTCAGGCATGCCCTGTTTGTGAATTGAACAATCAAAAGTGTCGACTAAATTTATTATTCCATTATTTGTGTTCGAGATATTAAAGAAAAGACACCTAGAAGTACTAAAGTAATTTCATTCAATTTCATGTGTTATTCGTATGTTGTGTACATGAAAATGCAGCAGTATAGAACTTGAGTAAATAAAAAGAGTCGAAAATGTATCTTGAACAAGGTGACATGTACTAAATAAAACTGTATATATCACTGTTGCAGTTGGTGTTTAAGCTTAGAGGCATTTTCAGTCATAAATGACTATTTATGCATTATCACGTTACTTAACAAGGCCGTTTAAGCTTTATAAACAAACATATAGGAAGGATACATCAACATTCGATTTTATTATCCGTGTCCTCAATTAATCAGTTAAGTTAACGACCACTGATTTAGTTTCGCCTTATACTTTTTAACAAGGATGATAGAGATTTCCTACCTGGACTTTAGGATTGAATGATTTCATTGGATTACTGAGATTATGATCAACAAAATACCGTGTTGTTTCTGGAATTTCATTCAGTTTCGGTTTAGTTTCAGTTTAGTTTCTTTTATTTCACATGAAAAAACAATACATTAACAAAACATAGCATATTAACAAAATTGATATTCAGTGAACAATAAAGACATCTACACAACACAAGTTTCGAAATTACATGTGAACAAAAAAAAACTTAATAAAAAGCATAGCTTGTGGAGTTTCAGTTCCTCAAAATCATTTTGACACAGTGTCATTCATAATCAGGTAGAAGTATAGTAATCCCCCCCCCCCCCAACAGAAGTAAAAAGCAAGTACCAAGTGTAGCAAAGTATACAGACAATATGGATGATGGGTGTAAGAAAAAAGAGAAATAGGAAGAGAAGGTAAAGAATGGAAGTCAGAAGAAGAATGAGAAGATAGAAGAGGTAGTTTTAGAATGGAATGTTCAAGGTCGGGAGTCATAGATTAGAATAGTAGTGCATTACACGTACACATTCAATGATAACAATTGAATATGTTGTTTTTTTAAAGCTGCCACAGTTTTTAAGCTGTTTGAGATTCTATTCAATGTTGCTCCATTAGTTTGGTCCTGTTTATAATCAAGGAGATACGAGTATTAAACTCCTTGGTATGATATCGTTTTGGGGGCGAAAACTGTCCTGGTTAGAGGAAGATGATAGTTTGAATGTGTTGCATGTCGTGTTTGGTATGTGTGTATCAGATAATACAAATAAATGTATGGCATTATGGTTAAATTAGAAATCTAGAATAACACGAAATCCTGTTTACTTTTCCAGTCATGATCCTGATGTTAAGGGATTTTTCTGACTTATGTCAATAAAAATTGTCAATGTTTTCATATTATTGGTTTACCATAGAGGATGTCTAGCACGGTCCAATGCAGCCCCACGCCTTACCTTTTAAGTCTGCCTTTACTTTGTCAAAATATTATACTATATGATTATAGATATATTTCCGTTTTCAATGCACTCTACCAGCAAACCGAAAGCCTAATTGATTCAATGACATCATCAGGTCGCTTTCGTATAGATTACCGTTCCACCAATCACGGTCCGGGTATTGTTGTCCGTCAGACAAAATACACGTACGGACGAAATGTGTTGTAGACTTTCATTTATAGATATCGCTTGCTGATGGTCAATAGATCAATAGCTCATGCATACATTAGCACAGAAAGAAAGCCTTTCAGTTCTTAATATGCGATATATTTTCACTTTCGTATGTGTATCAATATTTCGGAATGGTATAAAGTTTATTTAGACAAATATTCAATAGACATGCATAGCAGCAAATACGATTGCAGAATCAAAACCTAACAGCCACTTTTCAGACATTACAACATTCTCAGATAATTCCAAACTTGTTTGAGGATTATGCATTTATAAGATCAATCTCAAATAGGCCTACTTGGAGCAAGATACGAACTTCAAGTAAACCCTACACTAAAATAAGAGAAAACAACATCGAAGAAAATTATAGGCATTTTATCCACATTACCTCTCATTTAGCATTTTAGGATTAGGAAAATATTTCTTTTCAAAATTGTGCATATTTTATGTACAAGTTTTCGAATGGCCAAGGCCTATGCTATAAGTATCGAGAATATTTTGTTATCATGTTATAAATATATACATGTCGGCTTTAATCGTAAGTTAATGATGGTGATAGTTTCAAGAGGATGATTAATATACGTATCAAAATAGTTATACAGATTAATGTAAGAATATGCTAGATACTAAAGTATTCTAAATCGGATACTATGAATCTTAAGTGACACTCTTTATTATGATAACCGAATACAAGTTGTTTTTTCTCCCGTATCCAATTTAATTAGTTTAAGTGGAGATTCCCGCTGGTTATGACTCTTAAAGTCTTTGGTTACCTTCCTAATCTTTCTCAATTTCATTATGGTTTCCTTCCCTGTTCCTTTTATATTTTTTCGATTGTAAGAAGGGTATGCTTTCCCTGCATTCAAGCATCCCGTGAGTGCTGATGATGTTATCCTTTTTCGTCATCGTCCGTTTTTGCAGTTTCAGCTCATCGCGAGAACTGTTCATGGAATCAGACAGAAGATGAAGTTCACTCTTTTTATTATTAAGTTGATTTGGATGAAATAATAAGAATAAACAAAACTTTAAATAAAAGATGATAAAGCAGTACAAATGGATGTAAATCTGATAAAAGAAAAGATATTTATATATGTTTGAAGTTGTGATCAACCACAAATTGGCAACTTTGTAAGTTTACTTTACGAGCACCTTTCCCATTTGTGTGTACTAAACTTACCTGATCATATATCCATCGTTATTGTTGTTGATGAAGAAATAAACGTATTTCTTTTTATACTGGGTATGTGAAACTAAAGTAATGTGTTAGTAGGCAAAGGTTATGAATGGTTAGTTATTGGGATAAATATGAGCGCGTTCTACTAATCAATTTAACTTTTTTTGTTCGCTTCGTTGCTTCAAATTGACAAGATCATTCATTATAAACGTAATTAAAAAAAAGAAAATTCGATTCAAAAATCCAAACTTCTTGACACTCTAAATCTAGAAAGTGTGTATTGATTTCAGATTAATGACAACGTTCAAGAATACTGTCCACATGGGCAAACTGAACATCAGTCATTAAAGCTTGAAGTCCGAGATGTTTTTCTCTCTCTGATTACTTTTGACAACCAACCTCAAGCACCCTCACCGTCCACTCAAAACCAGGAAACTTAAAATGTAAAGTTGAGTACTGCATGGCCATGAGATTTAACTGTAAATGAAACTGCCAGAAAGCGACTAGCTCATTGCAAAATAAATCACTCAGTTTTGCTGTAAATCAAATGCACTGCACGCAGAAATGACAATATGGTCTACACACACATGTGGCATGTACATGTAAGGTTGGTCCAAACGTTCTAGTCATACTTTGATCTTTAAGGAGTTAGTTGAAGAACTTTCCTTTTGGAGGGAATATTTCGACTTAAACATTCCTCCAAAATCATAAATGAAAAGAATTAGAAAGCTCACAGACTTTTATTCGCCTCGACCAATCAAAAGTAAAGCCTTTCTTTAAACATCCTCGTTGCACTCTCGACACCAGAAACCAATGCTTGACCTTCATCTATCACGATCCTGTTTCTATATCATACCTCAAACAAAAGACAGAAAATGAAATTCAACACTCTCTTTTGATTAGTATCGGCTGTTCTTTCCACTTTAAAACCACCCGTACCTTGTGAAAGTGTTGATAGCGAACGTGGCGAAAGTACATAGCGATAAGTCGTGGGTTGAACACGTCAGACGTTAAAGGTAATACAAAGTTTTGGTATGGGGTCATGAATTTGGTTCAAATGAACATAATGGAAGCATAT